ACGTATTTGAGTGTCTGCCTTCAGACAACAGCTTCAATCCAAGAAGTGATGACTTGACTTGACTTGATGTAAGAACCTGCATGGTGTGAGCTGTGCAAGTGAGGAGAGGAAGGAGGTGGTAGAGGGGGGTCTAAAATCAAGAAGCAAAAACACAAGATTCTCAGTCAATAATGAAAATTAACTCTAAAAAAGCTGCACAAAGAGGACAAAAATACCAATAAAGTCAAGAAAGTGGGTGAAAACAGTCACAGAACAGCTTACAGGTGAAGAAGTTTAAGTCTGCTGCAGAAAAGAGGCCTTAAGGAAGAAGAGGAGGTCATGAAGGGCGAAACCTTAATCTGTGGTAAAGCTCTATAGTGAACTCAGAGGTCCGTCCTTCCACTAGAGAGCCCAAAACTTCAGACAGGCCAGTGAGCGAATCATAAGTCTATTGAATAATCTCGCAGAGGCTCTTTCACTCATTTATGTTTTTGGAGAATCCTGACAGTCGGCAGATAAAAAGTCCTTCTCTGACAGCGCTGATCTGCTGCCCACTCCTCTGTACAAGGTTGAATCTATCAGTCTGCTGAGACGAGGTGAGATGATAAGTGACTGGTGTTTTTCCTTTGGAGACTCTCTCAGGACTGATGGAAGAAGTCGATGCTAAATGGAGCGGGGACTCGTCTCAGGGCCCTGCTTCATAGCTGGCGTGTTGTTTTTCCTTTACTGTTTGTTTGCTGAGATGCTTGTTTGACTGTGTGCTTTGGCTCAGGAGCATGGATAATTCACTGTTTGCTCCTCCAGTTGAGGAGCTGGGAAAACAGAAATCCTATGATATGATGAGTGGTTAGAAGCCTGATGGAGAGAGTCCAGACTGCAGCCGTAACATCTCTGCAGACTGTGGCAGCCTCAGAAGAGGTAGAGAGATCACAGAAGCTTTAACCTGCTGGTTATTTATCTAACTGATCTGAAATCAACTCTGAGCTTCAATCATTTAAATCTTTCAAACTCACACTTTAATCTTCTATATGCTTTTCAGCTGCATCCCTGCACAGAGTGATGAGCATGAATCAAAAGTGGTTCATACAGAACTACAGCATACTTTTCTCTCTCTGCATCTCAGCACAAGGTCTCCTCCACATCAGCCACACATAAAGACAAAACTACAACAAAAGGCCAGCTCTCCATGTTTTGACTCAAGGCTTTTCTCGGCATTGGATCTTGTTTAAACCTGATGTGAAAGGCATGAAAGGCCCTGATGCTGAATGAAAGTCCTCATAAACAACCCTGAGAAAAATAGCAAAGGATCATTAGCAGAAACTTTGATGAAAAGCGGCAAAGTCCTTCAGATTTCTGCAGAATATTCATCCCATTTTTGGCCCAGATTGATCCCTCTTTTATCGTCATCATTTGGATTCCAGGGTTGAATTCAGACGTATATTTTCGGCAACACTCTGTTACTATAGAAACAGTTTTCAGTGCAAGGAGAAACATCTGGCCTTGTCAGGTAATTACACGGCAAGGTCAGCCCTGCTTTTGTGTTTGTGTCACTCTGTTGCTTTAAATCCTGAGGTAAATGAGGATAAAAATGAGGAGTTAAACCTGAAGCCCCGCATGCTCTAAGTCTCGGCTGGAAATAAACCACCCGTCAGGTGTGATAGGACGTCAACTATACAATCTTTAACAAGGAGAAACAGTCTGTGGCAAGGCTGACAAAAAAAAACTAAACGTTTCAGTAACATCTCTATAAATTACTCTGTCTTCCTGCCTCTCTGACACTGTGTGCATTTTTTCTAATGTTACAGTGGTTATAATATATCAAAATAAAAGCCATGTCAATGATGCAAATAAACCCAGACCTGCAGAGCATGTTTACATCCACAACCTCTCAAATGAGGTCCCTGAGGATGAGCAAGGAGGTCCTTTGGCAAGCATGATCTTCTTATGCAAAGCGTGCTCAAGGCCCTCAAATCAAGTCCTGCTCAGGGGCCCTCAGACTCTCAATCCAGCTCTGATATGACTCATTAGAGGCTGAATCAAATCAGATACAGACACACAGAGGTTAGGTTGGACGTGCATCTCATTATTAACTCTTATCTATTGATGGTATTAAAGCTGCGTCTTCATATTTTCATGTTCACAACAATCCAGGACAAAGTTAGGAAGCTGCAGCTAGAATTGGTAGCAACAAAATGGTGAGCACTGTCCGTGGTGCTGATTTAGAGTCTCTGCAGAAAGTTCAGCAGAGACGGCCTAAAACTACAGCAACTTAGACATGAACAAGACATTGTTGCATGCTCAGAAGTGCTCCTGTTTGTGTTTTTAAAAAGAGGCGTTCAAAAAGTCAAAGCTGTTCTTTGTGTTGTAGTGATTTGAAATGAGCCTCATACGGTCGCACCAAAATATATGTAGCGATTTGAAATGAGCCTCACAAGGCCGCACCAAAATAATACTTGGCGATTGGAATTTATAATAAATGTCTGAAGATTAATAATCTCAAATTATGACATTTATGCACTCGTTGAAAGGGGCACCACCCACCCTTAATGGTGGGAAAATAAAGAAAACAAAAGTTTAATTCAGAAATCAAACATCAAGTCAGTTTTAATTAATCAGTCTTAATTAATCAGTCTTAATTAATCAGTCTCATATCTTAAGTCGAAATTCTAATTTCAGGGACTCCACTTCTGGAAGAACACTAACAGACAGGAACTTAGAAAAATAATGATCTGTTTATTACAGGATAAATGATGGTACAACACACATGCAATAAATGATGATAAGATAATGAGGATAAAATAATAATAGGTGAATAAATAAAGATTATGAGTCAGGCTAGGAGCACTAAAGTTAATGATAGTGAGTGAATATGCGCTAACATATTAACCTACACTAACTTTGGTGTCGAGATAAACTCGGGTGTAGATTTGGAGGAATCTAAGATCACCAGAAATAGGTGGATATCTGAGTTATGAACGCGTGAGACAGCATCAGCCCTGTCTGGAGCTCTGGAGGTTTGCATACTTAAGTGAGACTGGTCCTTGGAGAAGATGGAGCAGGTTCCGAAGGTCCGGGGCTACTGGCGGTTGGAGCGGTTCAGCTCAGAAGACGACTGAAGTCAGCCGAAGGATGAGCCAGGAGTTGCAGCACTCGGGCCCGAAGCAAAAACCAGCGCCTGTGGATCCTGTGGATGCTCGTTTGGGTACTTCTTTAGTCTCACTCAAAAACTCTGGCACAGAGGATGACCTGGGCCTGTTGGATTGCGTTCGGAGGTGACTTTGAAATCACGCAGAAAACTCAGAAAAACGAGGCTCGAAGAGCAGAGAAAACTTTCAAAAATGGCTTCGCGAAGTTAAAGAAAATCAATCAAAGGCTAAATCTTGAATTGCTATGTGCACAAAAAGTTGAAGTTTCAAAACTTGAACTAAGACGATGTTAAAGAAAATCAACGTGAATCAACACGTGGCGTAAAACTTAGAAGACTAAGAAAAAGTTCTAAGAGAGAACAAAGAAAAGGAGGACCACAGAAGGGTGTGGACAGAAGAGAAGGGCCCAAGAGTAAGGGGCCTAAGAGAGACAGGAGAGTCAGCACACAAGAGCAGAAGCATAAGAGAGAGTGAGCAACCCGACTTCACTGGTTTTATCTTCTCACACTGGGAGTGGCTCCGGCGTGTGTGTGAGGAGACAGAGGAGGGGTCGTGTGGTCTTTGATTATTTGATCTAACTTATTCTTTTGGCTGGCAAAAGAGTCAGATCTGATACTCACTCACTATTATTAATATCATTGAATGTTTGGTTTCATGATAAATAATTTGACACTAAACACATATGAATGAAGTGTAGGATCACATCAAACATTCTCATTATGTTTTAAGTATCACATTGAACATGCTAAATTACTCTGAAATGAAACAGATAGTAACACATGGAAACTGTGAACAACAAAAGAGTAAACACATGTGAATGAACTTCATCATGATTAATAATGGATTCTAAATACTCACATTAAGGTTATTCAATGACATTATAACCACCTAATGGTTAAAAATACTAAATAAACGATTAAAATATAGACCAAACATTTCTAAACTATTTCTGTGTTCATAGAGTAAAGTTATGATCCATAGTCAATAAATGTAACTCTTAAAAGTTCATGAAACAGTCTGAAAAGCTGTTGGTCTAAAGAAACTAAAGAGCGATAACTCGGCTTCTGGAGCACATAGAAAAATGGGAAACATCTCATTTTAACACAAATTTCATGATTAGACAGATTAGTACATTGCTGAATGTATAAGATGTCAGGATCAGTCATTTGTATTCTTTCACCAAAGGAATGTAGTCTTTATCAGTGTATGGTCGAGCTGGGTTTTACGACCAAGGTCTGGAGGTCAGTGTCCCCCCCCTTATCCTGGGGTCCGTATGTTCACACACTTTAAGACGCTAAATCTCAAATGGGAGATCTGGGTTGAGGTTAATGTTTATTTAGATGGTCAGCAAATGGAGTCAGTTTGAAAGGTAATAAAAACTCTGTCTCTGTTCTCCGAATTGACCAATCGTGAAGAGTCGGAGGTTTAGTCAACCTCCGGTTGGGTCACTTATTTAACCTGAAAGTGTAAACGAGTCTGGAAAGATTTATATCCTGTTTCCTGGGACCAGATAAGGAAACTTTCCTCTGAGGAATGTGTGGGTTTCACACCCAGGGTTGTCTTGATTGCTACAGTGTTTTGTAAATTACAGAATAGAATAATAAAATATACGCATCTTTGCACTCCAAAAACTAATCATTTAAAATACAAAAAAAAAATCTTGTCAAGTTTTTAAAGGGATATTTTGGCATAGAATTAAGTTAGGGTCAAACACACCGTGACACAGAGTTAGACACTTAGATCTTGTGCTAAAATTCTTCTGTCTTGTGCTTTTAATGTGAAATTATTAACCGGACGTGTGATCTGGTGTGTTGTTGAGGGAGGACTGGAGAGTAAAAACGGTGATAAAGATGATGAGTGTGACAGAGGGGCGTCATGTCTTGCTATGAGTGCAAGAGGCAGCGGAACGCTACGCGGGGCAGCATCCTCTTCAGCCTCCTCAACAGGGACCCCAACAGCCCCCAGGACCCGCAGAAAACTACCCCAAAAAGCCAGCTCTGCTCCTGTGCCACTAGGAAGAAACTGGTGGCGATCCGGGCTCCTCAGCTGGTCTTCAAAGCGGCTTCAGGGGTGCTAGTGAAAACTTTCAGGTTCGTCAAACATGTTCCGTGTTTTCGGGGTTTGCCGACGGGGGACCAGCTCCGGCTTGTGCGCAGCAGCTGGGCGCAGTTGCTGGTTTTGGGTATGGTGCAGGACTGCGTGGACTTCGACACGGTGGAGACGCAGCAGCCGAGTCTGCTACACGAGATTCTAACGCACAGCAAAAACAGACAGCAACACAGCCAGATCGAGGTACGAGACCAGGGGGTGCCGGTGAGTGACGCGGAGGGGATCATGATGTTCCTGGTGAAGTGCAGAGGATTGCGGATCAGCGCCAGAGAGTTCGCGTTCCTGAAGGGAGCGGTGCTGTTCAGCCTAGGTAAGAAACAGACCAACCTTACCCTGAACACCAGGAGGAGTTGGTCATTTTGTGAAATAAGCTCAAACTTATTAGCCGCACGAGTTTGAGCTGCGTGGCGCAGAGATTCACTGCGCAGCTTTCGTGCGTAATTCCTGAATCTTCCAAACTGGATCACATTTCACTCTGTTTACTCTCTGTCCTGCAGACGGAACAGAGCTGGAGTGTCGAGACTACATCAGGGCGCTGCACAGAGAGGCCGAGCGCGCGCTTTACGAGCACGTGGGGGCTGTGTACCAGGCAAACAGAACGGTTCGGTTCAGCAGACTACGCGCAGTCCTGAGCGCGCTGCGGTCCGTGGATCCCGACGCGGTGGCGGGACTTTTCTTCAGACCTGTGCTTGGAACGGGCAGCATAGACGGACACGTGCTCTCTCTGTTTCACGAGCGGTAGTAGTGATTGTAGACGCTTCAAGCTGTAAATGTGTTCAGGTTTTTCCTCATGCTTTTGGTTTTTTATTTCAATTCACAGATTTTAAAGACAGATTTCTTCACTCGCTGCTCCTGCTGCACGTTATGAGACCAGCTGAGTGACCTACTGCTGAGGATCAAGACTTTTTATGGAGACTACACTGAGAAAAACAGATCTGAGGAGAAGTAAATGTAACTTAATTAAATCTGTGAAATAAAAAATAAAAAATCAAGTTTGTATCTTAATCTTGTGATTTTCCATTTTGGAACAAGTCCGAAAAGTCAAAGCAAAATTATTTTGTACAAAACACACGCACTGGATTCACAAATAGTTTTTACACACGAATTTTACTGCAATATTAAGTAATTGAAATCCAGTTCTTTTATTTTAATGCTCTCTTTCCGACCGGCTCAAAAGCAAACGCCATCGGGTTGGTACGGTGGCCTGGAAGTGCAAAACACAACCACAAAAGAGAAAACACGACAGCAAATCAAAACGCGAACGCAAAAGAGAAAACGCAAACACAAAAAAGAGAAAACACGACAGCAAATCACATACGCAAACACAAAAAAAGAAAACACGACAGCAAATCAAAACACAAACACAAAAAGAGAAAACGCAACCACAAATCAAAAAACACAACTGCAAATCACAAAACACGACAGCAAATCACAAATGCAAACACAAAAAAAGAAAACGCAACAGCAAATCACAAATGCAAACACAAAAAAGAAAACACGACAGCATCGTCGGTCTTGTTCTTCTTCGTTGTAGTTTAATGGCAGTTTACTCCGCTGGGGGTGGAGTACTACTGCCACCTGCTGGATTGATGTCGGAACGGGAAAGTAAGCGCTCGAATCTGTCCTTTGACCCAGAAAGGGTCAAACACGAAGCGCGGCTGACGATGTATTGCCGATACTGTGGCAAAGAGCTCCCGGGAAAACCTAACTTTTGCAGCAGTTGGACGTGGAACAGGCTAAGGGGCTGAGGATATGCAGTGGGGCGTTTAAAACCTCTCCAGTAGCTGCTCTTCAAGTTGAGGTAGGGGAAGAGCCTCTAAGGATAAGAAGGGTAAAGCACATGCTGGCATACTGGGTATATCTGCAGAGGCACAAAAGGTCGCATCCAGCAAAAGCAATATTAGAGGAATGCTCAGAGCACGACAAGACCAATTTTTTGAGTTTGGGCTGGGTTGGGAATGTAAAAGCCGAAAGTGTTGGTTTATGTAACATGCAATTTGTATCAAGTCATTCTTTACCAGAAATCCCTCCATGGGTATTTCAGGAGCCAACAGTGGACTTTGGTATTCAGGATAAAGTAAAGAAGAAATCAGGGAATACAGGAGTTATTGTGCAAAGATACATTGAACAGAACTATGCGAATAAACTGTTGATATTTACGGATGGATCAAAAGATCCAGAGACAGGGCGCACCGGGGCAGCAGTCTTCGTCCCAGAACAAAGACTGGCAATTAGAGAAAGGGCTACTGATCATGCCTCAGTATACTCAGTGGAGCTTTTAGCTTAATTATACTTGCATTAAAGTGGATGAAGGGAGGGAGTGTTGTACATGCAGTAATAGCATCAGATAGTTATGCAGCACTGGAAAGTATCAAAACAATGAAATCACGTAGGCAAGATCTTGTTATGGAGATTCATCAACTGCTACACCAGATACAGAACAGGGGGGGGGACAACCAGATTTGTATGGGTTCCAGCACATGCAGGTGTTGAGGGTAACGAGGAAGTAGACACACTTGCAAAACAAGCTGTTAGAGCACAAACAATAAAAAACAGCATTCCACTGGGTAGAGCTGAAGGGAAGTCAATAATCAAAACACAGATGCAGAGAGTTTGGCAGGAATATTGGGACATCAATGACACTGGGAGACATTTCTACAGGATACAGAGTCAGGTGGGTGGAGGACGGGTATTTGGCAGGAGCAGGAAGGAGGAGGTGGCCATCACCCGTCTCAGGCTGGGGCACACAGGGTTAAACAGTACACTAAAAATAATAGGTAAACACCCCACAGGAAACTGTCGAAGCTGCAATGTACAGGAAACAGTAGAACATGTCTTAATGGAATGTAGGGAGTATGAAAGAGAGAGGGAAGTATTAAAAGATGGCTTGAAAAAGGAAAACATTGGATTTACATTAAGGAGTGTGTTACAGAGAACAGAAGAGAGCAATAAACATGTACAAAGATATTTGAGAAGAACTGGCCTAGTTGAAAGGATCTAGTAGGGTTTGGAGGGGGTTCCCTTTTTTTTTTTTTTTTTGTAAACTACCAATCTACTGTTCCACACTCCAGTCCGGTAGGTGGCGGCAATGCGCCAAATTGTTGGATGCCAGCCGCCAATCAAATCCAAGAAGAAGAAGAAGAAGAAGAGTTCCCGGGAAAACCTAACTTTTGCAGCAGTTGTGGGAAAAGGCTGCAACAGAGCAGTGGATTAAACTGTTAAACTGTTTTAATCCACTGCTCTGGGCTGCAAGAAGCGGACGGTGACAGTCCATCAAGTAAGTTAAGGGATGTTCAATTAATGTGTTCTGCTACAGTAGCATTACAGTAGCAGCGTTAATTTGCGTCTCTTTCCTTCCCCTGCTCAAGCACCGGCTCCACGGCGGGATGTCGGAAAGGCGGTTGCCCCCCTGCGTGACGTAATTGACCATATTAATATCTCAAAATGTAAATCAGCACAAACGAAAATGTTTGCGGCACGAAAATTTTCGTGCGAGACCATTTTGAGCTAATCTGAACGATATGTGGGGACTGCTTTACTGCCTTGACCACTGCAATAATGTTCGATAACTCTAAAACTAAAGCAGCACAAACGAACATCTTTGCAGCACAAACCTGCATAAACGATGCACAAACGATTACAAGACTTGTTGTGTTTTCAAAGTTTATAAACACAGTGACTAAAGAAACATCAGTGGGCACGTTTTTGTAATTAGTCATGGTTCTCAAAGTTCATTATTTGTTATTATTAAAGCTGTTCTATTAAATTCTACAAAGGTGTTGACTCGGAAATAAACACATTTCTGTCCTGACAAGGACAAGGTCTTATGTTTAAAGCAGAAGCATTGGTCAACCATTTGATAGGGCAAATGTCTGCATTTCTGAATTTATTAGTGCTTTGAATTGTTGATGTTCTGCGCAAATAATATCTTCCTTTTTCAGAACTTACACTGACCTCTTTGGACCTATCATCATTGATGATGATGATGATGAGGATGAAGTTCCCATTCCTGACAAAACAAATGACATGGCTTCTGAAGAATTTGAGTGAGTCATAGACATTAGAAAATTAACCAGCTGTGTGTTTTCCATAAAATTACATCATTCAAAAGGGAGAAGTCACTAAAATGAACACCTCAGACTTTCCCTGCCTGTAACTGCCTGCCTCAGGTCCAGTTGTTAAGATGTGTGTTTGAGTAGAGTCCATTGAAAAGAAGTTATTAAATTAAATGTGCTCATTGTTTCAGAGAGTGACTCATCAGCATCTCTTGTGCATAGATCAACATTTAAGTATATTTTAGAGTGTAAAGTAAGTGTCTTACTTTTTTCTTTTCTTAAGACCTACAAGTGTGCAGGCAGCAGAAGTAATTGCAAATCTGGCACTTGCAATTGACCACAAGAAAGTCAGCCGGTTCAATATATCAAGAGCTGATGTGTGGGATGGAGCTGTGCGCGGATTTCGACGCAGCACATACTCCGAATCCAGTGACATCTTCGTCAAGTTTACAGATGACGCCGGTTCCTTTGAAGAGGGGTTGGATACAGGTGGGCCAAAACGAGAATTCCTAACACTTCTCATGACTCACCTCAGAAATCGCCCCATCTTTGATGGACCTCCCGAAAGACGATATCTCGTGTACAGTACCACAGGTGGGTTTAATAATAGGACAGATTGTATTTTAAAAATGTTAAGTTTCCAATCATTTCATCATCATTCTTTTTTCAAGTGATGTAGATGATAATCATGCATAATAGTTCTCTACCCTCTGTAACAGCTGTCAGGGAAGACGAGTACTTTCTAGCAGGCAAGATGATAGTTGTTTCCATTATACACGGGGGACCTGCACCACATTTCCTCTCAAAGGACCTTGTCCATCACCTACTAGGGAAGACAACTTTCAACGCCACTGTGGAAGATGTAACCGATGAGGAGTTACGGAAAGCTCTGCGTCATGTAGAAAAAGATCTCAACTCATGGACTGAATTTGCTAAGGGGTCACATGAAAATTATTTCAGAAATTGAGAGTGGACTATGCTCAAGGTCACAAGTTATATTTATGTAAAGGGACGGATTTCTTATTATTTCAATGAGAAGTAAAGGCATTTAATCCTATTGGTATAAAATAATGACAAACATTTTCAGGATTGATATCTTTGTATTTTTCTTTCAGTAATTGTTTTTGAATAGGTTCAGGAAGCTGAATCGGAGGAATCTTTGCAAGATGTAATTTTGCAATACAGCACAATGTTCCAGACAGCTGGATGCCTCCGACGCACTAAAGTCCATGAGAGGCATATGCTCATAGAGGACTATCTGAGGTGGTACATCCTAGGACGCAACCAGATTGCCATTCAAAGGTAAGTTATCTTAGGCTGCTTTTTTACTAACGATCGTTAATAATACTTTAGAAAAGTTTTTTTCTTTCCTCATCATTTTTTCTCTCCTCCTCTCATGCTCCTCTCGTCATCCTCCCCTCCTCTTCTCCTTTCCTCCTCCTACTTATCTCCTCTCCTTCCCTTCTCTCCTCTTCTCCTCTTCCTCTCATGCTCCTCCTCTCCTCCCCTCCTGAGTGGGTGGCAGCTTTCAAAAGGTTGACAACCCCTGTCTTACACAATATTTGTCCTTAATAGATTCAAAGAGGGACTGGCAAGTCTGCAGTTTCTGACTGCTCTGCAGCAGCATTCAGGTGTGCTGGCTCCTGTTCTGTGCCATTCTTCCAAGGCCCTGACTGCATCAGAAATGGAGAGCCTCTTCCGTCCAGACCGCAGCCCAAGAGGCAGCAACAGGTGGCAGAAGGAGAACCAAAAAATGGGATTTTGGGCTGACTTTCTTCTGGATTGCGAAGGTTTGTCAAGGCTTTGTTAGATGTTTATTAATTGTAGTGTAGTCATATTTATAATTCTTATTTTCTCTGATCAAATATATGAATAACTAAAATGTTGACTTTTTTGTCCTTAGAAAAAGTGGCAGCAGTGTCCCTCGAAGATGTGCTCATGTTTGCCAGTGGCTTAGCAGCGCTTCCACCAGCTGGAATGACACCCTCTCCAAGTATAGAGTTTTTAATCGATTCTCCTTTTCCAATGGCGTGCACCTGCACAAACACTCTGAAGCTGCCGCTATTGGATACTTACAGAGTCTTTAAGACAAACATGGAGTTTGGAATCCAGAATGCTCCAGGATTTGGATGTTTTTAGCTGCCATAGGAACCTTTCAAGCATAAAAGCGATTAGTTTACCTTTGTGTGAGGGCTTATGTCTCTGCAGTTAGCTACATGCATAGTTTAACGTTCACCTGTGTAAGGGCTTGCATATATTTCAGTCTGTGCAGTTAGCTGTATGCACAGCTTACCCATTATATTATCTGGATCCTTTATGGTTTTCTTTTGTTTATTACTGGTTCTTTTCGTCTCTCAATCACTTTATTTATTTTCATTTTTTTATTATTATTTAAAATGTTGAAATAACTGCTGGACACTGTACAGTTTTAGTAAAAATGTTTAATAAAGTTATACCTGTCACAGTTTACAAAAAAATGAGGTATTCCCATCTCTTGTCCACAAAGATTCATAAATATTTAGAATAACAACTAAAATGGTTAAAAAATGCTATTTTTTTCAAATAATTTAAGTCAAAAACCAGTGCCTCCCACCACCATCTACACATATTAATATAACTATACACATTCTCACAACTGACAGTAGGGAGACATGGTTAGGCACTGAAGATTGGGGGAAACGCCAATCTGCAGGGCTGTTAACACTGGTAGGAGCAGCAGGGTAAGGACTGTGCCAGCAGCTGGACCCCCCTAAACTGACCGATGAGTGGACAAACATAGTGGAGAGCAGCCCAACCAAAGGATCAAAGGGACCTGGGACTCAGTCTCTACAGCCCAGCTATTTGCTTCAGAGTGGCGTAAAGGTCTGAGGCTGTCCTCCAGTCTTGTGGCTGTTGTAGTCTGTTTTGTTCCACAGCCTGTTGTAGGTATTCCTCAATGTCTGCATCACTGTAAAAATCAATCTCTTGTCTTGCCTCGGGAAACACATCCAGCTCTGCATCTTCAACAAAGAATCCACAGTCCCTTGAACCAAATCTGAAAAAAGGATGATACACAGAAACATTTATCGACAATTGCAGAGACAGAGCCTCTAAATACAAGATTGTACTAACTTTTGCTCCTTGAATAGGCAGAGGAGAGAGAGAGGAGAGCATGGAGGAAGAAGAGGAACGAGTAGGAGAGGAGAGGACCACTAGAGAGAACCACTGATGTAAACCTTTACTACCTGTGGGGCAAGAGATATAGTTCATTTGGGATCCCTCATGGACATGATGCTGGTCTGCTTGGACGAATCCGGTGCTTATTCCACAGGTCCACGCATTCATCCAGGTCTTTCTGAAGGACTTTACTGAAGCAAAATCTCAGCAAACACTGGTGTTCGTGGCTGCCATTGAAAAATCCAGAGTCTCTCAGGTCTCCAAAAAGGTCCATCCAAAACTGAGACTTGGGGATACATTAGACATGAAGTTACTTACTTCACACAGAACAAATCACGTATTACAGCGAAACGTATTCAGCCACTGATATAATTGCATTTTGGGGGTAGAAACATTTCTATGCACTTTGTATTCATATGAAAAAGTTGAACACATTTGAAACACTGAATTAAAGCTAATGCAAAGCTGTTTGTTATTTAATGTGAATACTCACAATGACAGACATGGGAGTGAAAAATAAGCAGTGGACAAACACAGTCGATCGCTATACAGTTACCAATAAACATTTCATCTATCAATGATAAATTTACCAACCTTCCTCTTCTGAAAAAAGACCACCACGACTCGATGCGCTGATTCCCTGTTGATGAGCAGTCACTGGCTGGACAAGCCTGCATAATAGTCCGTATGCCCATGGCGGAGGGTGCATTGTATTGCTGCCATTGTTCCATTTTCTGTTCCGAGGTCAGTTCGTAATCGCATTGGAACAACACCAATAGTCCTAACGCAGTTTATGTAGTTGTGAGCGACGACAGATGGATTGTTGTTTGACGGTCCACAAACAAGCCACATGATTCTTCGTGAAAATCCATCTATGCATCCAGAGAGCCAGGCCAAATGGTTTGAGTTTATCGTACCCATCGACATGCCATATATAGTTTGGACCCATGGAGTGATAGGTACGCCGTGTGAACCTCCTGCGTCTCCTCAGAGCCGTCCGTTGTGGGCTCAGTTGTCTGAGCAACCTCATTACTACGTCACGTTTTACACGAAGTCCAAGTTTCTGTTGTAGGACTTGCCACATAGTCCGATATCCGAATAGTTGCCCTGGTCCATCAAGCTCGGTCAGAATTGCACGCCTCACCTCGAATATTGGGGAGTAGTTACGGCGTCTAAACAAGCCAGCTTCTTTCAAGCAGGTCTTCAGCGTTCGAACGCTCATGCCAATGCCGTGAATAGTTGACAACATGTCGACTATAACGTCATATGTGTGTCCTGCATGAAAATATTGTTGGATAATTTCGAGCAAACTTTCGCTTTCGGCGTCCATGTTCGTGTTTACTTTCCCGTTCCGACATCCAGCAGGTGGCAGTAGTACTCCACCCCCAGCGGAGTAAACTGCTATTAAACTACAACGAAGAAGAAGAAGACCGACGATGCTGTCCTGTTTTGGGATTTGCGGTTGCGTTTTCTTTTTTGTGTTTGCATTTGTGATTTGCGGTTGCGTTTTCTTTTTTTGTGTTTGCATTTGTGATTTGCTGTTGTGTTTTGTGATTTGGAGTTGCGTTTTGTGATTTGTGGTTGCGTTTTCTCTTTTGTGTTTGTGTTTTGATTTGCTGTCGTGTTTTCTTTTTTGTGTTTGCGTATGTGATTTGCTGTCGTGTTTTCTTTTTTTGTGTTTGCATATGTGATTTGCTGTCGTGTTTTCTCTTTTTTGTGTTTGTGTTTTCTCTTTTGCGTTTGTGTTTTTATTTGCTGTCGTGTTTTCTCTTTTGCGGTTGTGTTTTGCACTTCCAGGCCACCGTAGGTTGGCAGGCTAGACCTCCACAACATCCATCTCAAACTATTTAGAGAGGGACACAACTGCAGCGCAAGATGGCGGACCCAAAAGATGAACTTCCGCAATGAACTTCTGCATTACCTCCGATTGGCGGACCCAAAAGAATTACCTTCCGGCGGATGGGCTTTCTCGTTGGCGGACTTCCGGCGCCGAAATATTTCGCCAAAAGTTTGTTTTTTGGTTACATCCATGCGGTACGTTTCTAACGGAATTAATTCGTCCAGCTAAATAAAGGAACAACATGTGGGAAGGTTATTCCAATGATCGATTTTTTTTGTCAGAAGGGACTTCCGGTAGTCGGATTTAGTCGCCGGAAGCTTTTTTTTTCTTTTTTTTTCGCTCCGTTCATTCCGTAAGAATCGAATTGAATTTATTATTGAGCTAAAAATCAAAATAAAACGTTTATGTATTAATTATGACTACTGTTTTGTTCTGATTTAATTCTGAAGTTTACAGTAATATGTATATATAGACTGATGTCCTCATATTCTGATAATTTGTCAGAATAGGTATAAATGTATATAGAAGTGATCATCTTACTCAAATTCTTATGTAAGAGTTTGCTACAAGTATGGACTGTTTTAACCTCTTGTTACACATCATATAAGAGTGTTTTCTAACTTCTCTCTCCAGTAGCTTTATTACACAGCACATGAATGTTTCTTAACTTCTCTGTGACCTTGTTTCTCCTATTAGCAGGTGTGTGTGTGTGATGTATCCCCCACTGTGAATCTATTAGGACCTCGTTTAATGTCAACAATGTTGCCCTGACCCTCACATATTTTCTGTTGTTCATAATTATGTTTTATGAGAGTGCTTACGTTGCTAAACTATATGTAAAAGTGGTCACTTCATGGAAAATCACCGAATAGGCCCTGATAATTGCATTTATCAAATTGAGTCTGCAACACACCTCTCTCCTGTGTTGTTCGATGTCTGGTAGACACAGAATTGCATTGAATCTGCCATGCACATTCTTTGGACATCCGATGCCGTCTGCGTCATGGTTTCCTTGACAAGTCCATTTGAAAAGTAACATCAATTACCAAATACATCGAGACAATGTTGATCCATACAACTGTGTGCATTTTGAAGGACTCCCACTGAGATAATACTGTTTTTAGAAGGCAATTTTCTAACCTCTATGTCCTGCTGCTCTGCCTTCCTCTTTAGACTGAAGACCGGAGTATGCTTTCCAGCAATGAGCTCTTGACATTCTTTGGTCCAGTGGGCGAAGATTTTCCCACAACTGTAATGACAATATATCTTTAAGTACAATATATTGATTGTCTTCCAGTTAATTAGGGCATCTAGTTTACTTAAACTGTCTACCTGTTCAAAGAATTGTTCTCCAGGAGCAACAGGCACCACCATCGCTGCAAAACAGGCATGTCATGCTGAAATTGTTGTTTGTATTTCATTTTAGTGCACAATACAAAATACAATGTTGAGGATGACACTGCGTGTTGAAAAGTACTTACAACTGAGCAGTCAAACTGTGACTCCATAACGATGTACATGGCAGACTTAAAAAAAAAAAATGATGAGACAACATGTGAGATAACTTTAAAAAAGTCCATGTTGGAAAGTTATTCTAGATACAATATTTGTGCATTACAGCTCGTTATGACCTACCATCAACATGAATCTGCCACAGTCTGAGCCGAAGTCCTGGCTGGGGAAGCCCTGATTTAACAAAAGCAAACGTTAATCATCTTGTCACATACACTTTGTAGGAGCCAGATTGGGGTTTTGCAGTTTATTGTTATGTATTTTTTGTGCCAGCAGATGGTGCTATTGTGCCTGTCTATTTAATGGGTGGGTTGGTTAGGACAGGTGAGCACACCTGGGAAGCCGAACAGTTTTTTGACCGTGTGAAGTGGTCTTGTGTCTTTGTCTTACATAAAATGATGAATGAGTAAATAAATCAAAACAACAGAAAATATGGACGGTGTGACATGTGACATTATTCCACCTGCGGGCACGCGTCAACTCAAGCAAAAAGGTGTTCGCCACAAGTAACAGCATTGGAAAGCTGTTATACACTTTTCAACTGTAATATAGAGCATGCACAAATACCTCTAAATCTCTGCCCGTTTTCTCAGTCCATTGCCCAGGACATATCTTCTGTGCAATGTTCCTGTTAATTTGAGAGCGTCACTTAGATTTCCCATGATGGAAACAATGGAATGCAGGGTTAGGGTTAGTTTGAGTGGGTCGGAGGTGAGATTGAATGAATGCGGACGGCTTGCTTCTTTTCAAACTTCCTGAAAGTTCTTCTTCTTCTGTAAATTTTGCCTCAAGAAAGTTTAGGTGCATACCGCCACCTACTGTTCTGGCATCGCAAAGCCTATCGGAGGTAATTGCGGAAGTTCATCTTTTGGGTCCGCCAATCGGAGGTAATGCGGAAGTTCATTGCGGAAGTTCATTGCGGTAGTTCATCTTTTGGGTCCGCCATCTTGCGCTGCAGTTGGGTACTCTTGAGCTGCGTCCGAATTGCCAAGTAGTAGTCGAAGTAGTAGTCGAAGTAGTATCTAGCATGTCCGAATTGGCCACCGGAGCGAGTAGCATGCTACTTCAGATACTACTTCAGATACTAGTCACGCCCACATTGTAGGTTGGACTCGGTGCATCCTACGGGCATGCTACTGACCCAAAATGCACCGCGGGCTTCTTCTTCGTCCTCTTAAAAGTTGTAGAAGCGCATGTGACGCTAGCGCCACCAGCTGCTCTGCCTATTTAAATGTGTCACAAACGCCGGCTGGACACAGCAGCGCGCACCATGTCGGAGCAGCAGCAGCAGGCGGGACCGAAGCAGTACAGATGTAAGTTTCATGTAACTTCACACACTGTCCTAAAAAATGTGCGGTTGTATCTCTTTGTCATGTCATGGTGTCATATTTGCCCAAGTAATCATTTTATGAGCAAATATGTGGCGACATCGTGGAGGTAAAGCTCACTTATTCCATCATTAAACTGCACAGCTGCAGTACTACAGCCAGGCCCGCAGATGAGGGGCTTCAGTTACCACTGTCTGCACGGGCGCAGTACCTACTCTCTGCCTGCGGGGGTCGTCTTTCCCCACCGCTCGTCTAGTGTGTCCGAATTGGGCCAACGTGTTTAGTATGTATGTAAAAGATTATGATGTTGCTGATGCTTGCTCATCGAACATCCTATATTGAGTGCACATTAAAACACAGGATCCAGGATTCAGTTTGACGGTTTATTTGCTCGTCTTCAGTGGATGATTTTTTCTGTACAATCAAAAGGAATAGAAACAAGATGTATCAACATAAAATATTACAAAAAAGGGGGGACTGATAAAGTCAAATGAATTGTAAATTGGTTAACTAATCTTACATCATAGATGCATCCACTTCGGGGTTTTAAATCAATACATATGCGTTTTAGGGTGACAGGAATCTAAAGAAATAATATTTGAGAATAAACCATATTAGAAATAATACAAATAAGGAGAATACAACAACATTTGTTAAGGCTTTGTCCGTTTCACACTCACAGTCAGATTCCCTTTGTTCAGTGCTGCTCTTGTTCAGGCTGCAAAAGGGAGAGCAGGCCTGAGGACTGGCTTTTATGGTGTTGGGGGTGTGGTTTGGCCTTGAGTGACAGGGGAGTCAGGTATGGAGATGGTGAGGTGAGAATTTGGGATTTAACAGCCGCCCCTTCAAATAGTATATTTGAATCAATAAATCACAAATCAATTCTGGGTATCGGCTTTAAAAGGTGAAAGGATAACTAGTCGGGCAACAGGGCGGATGAACTTTCGTTGGTTAGATGTCACCTCCACAGTCCTAATCCTTCCATCATGACTGGGGAAGAGACGAGACACCTTTCAAACATGCCACTGTCCTCTTGGTACTTGGGGGTCCATTAAGAGTACCACTGTTCCCTCTGTCAGGCCTGGTGTGTCTCTCTGCCATCTATTTCGCACCTGCAAGCTTGGGAGGTAATGTCTGATGAAACAGGACCAGAATCGATCAGTTAGGATCTGACTATGCCTCCATTTTCTCTTTCCAAGTAAGTTGGATTCAGCATAGACAGCCGGTGGAAGAGAGGCATCTCGCCGCCCCATTAGGAGAAGGTTTGGTGTGATGGGGTCAGGATCTGCTATATCAGATGAAGCATATCCGATTGGTTTGGAGTTAATTATTCCTTCAGTTTCAACCAGCACTGTGTGCAGTACTTCCTCTGAAACGGTTTGGCTTCCAACAATCTCTCTCAGAGCAGTTGAAGACAACATGATGATTGCCATTATGTTCCACAAGGTGATGAGAGGTATACTTTGATTCTTTTGTCTGAGAGACTTGTTCAGGGTTGAGTTTTTCGCATAACTAGCTTGTTTTAGTTTACTGATTTCATTGTTGTACATGTCTGCCAATTCAGGATTGTTTTGGAGTTTGCGTTCAGATCGACGAAGAAGGGGCATAACCGATTCTGCTGGGGCTTTTAGTTCAGGTGCATCCTTTTTTCTTTGTGAAGGGGTTGCATAGCGTTTGGTACCATCTGTTTCAACTCTCACAGTTTTCTTATCCAGGAGGTCTATGGTGTCTCTATCTTGTTTTGACCTTGTCATTAATTTTTCATTTCTGAAGGGAAGGATATCAGTTTGCCACAGTTGCTCTACATGGTGTTTAAGTTCTGAGTAGGGGTTAACCGGTGATGTTAAAAAGCACTGGGTAGCAGATGATGACTCACCGAGGAAGGTTGGTCCTTGAAGGGCCCATCCCAGGCGTGTTCTCACTGCCGCTGGAGCTCCCTTTGGTCCATATTGGACTCTCTCTATAGGTGTGATCAGGAAAGGGTTGTCAGATCCAATGAGGATGTGTGGCTGGACTTTGGAGAAGGAGCTTAGTGGGAGACCTTGCAAATAGGGATAGCGTTGCTTGAGTTTATCAACAGGGTAACTTTGCTCGACAAGCATTATCATGTCGGAAGTGAAGGCTCTGTCAATTGAGAATTTTTTCTCAGGGCTTGATGCAGCAGAGATTTTAAGGTTAACAGTTTTCCCATTCAGAGTTTCTGTTTGCTGCCTCACTGTTCGCAGCTCGAGGTTTTCTGGTTCACCATCCAGTCCAAGGTACTCTGCAGCTCCTGGTAGTAGCATTGTACGCTCAGATCCATCATCTAAGATGGCATATGTCTCAAAAACTCTATTGTTGTGGTGAAGACTTACTTTTACTACTTTTAGCAGCACTTTGGATGTTAGGCTTCGTGGGTTCAGATACAACACTCTGGATGCAGTCTGGGGTTTATTTACATCATGTAGTACACCTAGGTGAAGGCCATTACATTTGGGACAGGGTTTTTTTAGAGTGCAATTAGCTGCTTTATGGGTTCTTCCACATTTCCAACATCTATTTTCTTCCTTTAGCCACTTTGACACTTTCTCGGGTCCTAATTCTTTTAGACTTTCGCAGTTTGTTAGGTAGTGGGAGGTAGATTGACAAAATGCACATGGGTACCTTCTTTCAGGCTGTTGTTGGTAACCAGAAGCACTTGGGCGGTGAGTGAACCTCCGGTCGGATCCATGGGGGATGGTGGTAGGATGCTTGGGTCTGTAGCTTGACTCCTTTCTATAAGTTTGAGGTGTGCTGATTTGAAGACTGCTGGCTTGTGCTACCACGGCTTGACATTCTGCCTCTCCCTCAAGCCATACTGAAAAATCCACTAGATTGTAATAAGAGGTTGGGGAAACTGAGCGGGCGTGTCTTGCAAAGTTTGAGACTAGGTCTACGGGAAGTTTATTTAATAATCTCTGGACATGGGAGGCACATGCTAATTCTGCTGCACTTTCTGCTGAATTGAGTGATTGCAGCAGCCCTACTAATGACCTAATTTTGACTGCAAAGTTTTGGAATCCTTCAGCATCTCCACGGGCCACTTTGGGTAGGTTGAGAATGGTCTGGATCTCCTTTAAAGCCAGTTGATGTGGTTGACCATACTGTCGTTCCAGTGCTGCCATTGCTGCTGTAAAGGGCTGTGGGTGGTGAGCATAAGACAGGGCAATATGTCTGGCTGAAGGGAGGTGAAGATGATCCAAAAGGATATGGAACTTAAATAATTCAGGTTCTTCTACAGGAAGAAGGTTTTTTAAGGCCATCTTTAACATTAGGAATTCCTGGGGGTCATTTTGGGTGAAATAAGGGAAGGATGGGCCTTCAACACGTGAAGTGTATCGGATTTGGTGTGCAGAGGCCATAGGTACGAAGTAGTTTGCGTTGAGGGGGGCTCCTAGAGCTTGTGGGGCACCAGTGATTGGGGCTGGCTGAGGTGCAAGATATTGGGTATGAAGCTGCTGCACATGTTGAGGGAAATGTTGATACTGATATGGAGCTACAGGACTTGGATGGTGAGCAGATGGCTGAGGATTGGTTGAGACTTGAGGTGGAGGTATAGGCGTTGGATGAATGGTATACGGCTGGAGTGGAGGCCTCTGGGTTGATTGTATTTGGCTATGAGGGCCATAAGATGGCTGTGTAACATTAACATTGAGTGGTATTTGCATAGGCTGTGCTGTTAATGTTATAGGAGGGTTGATTACTGGCCTGGTAAAAGGAGGGTCAGTAGGAGGCAGACTAGCAGTTGTGGGTATGAGAGGCCCCGGACGTGACACTGAGGGGATGAATCTTTGAGGCTCAGGGTTGGAATAAGCTTGCTGGAATGGCACATTAGTTAGGGAGGCTGATGGAAGTGAACCTGATGGTACTTGGATTGGGGACTCATTTCTTAATTGTGGAAAAGGAGCAGGTCTCTTAGGTTCACCTTGTGCTGCAGAGAGTGTGGGAGCATATGGGAAAAGGGTCTGAACAGACTGAGACATTTTTCCAGGTGGCAATGCAGGTACTGATTCTGTTAGGTTGGGTTCAGACATGGACTTTTCACACTGTGGGGCTGGGACGGAAGTTACTGGTTGGTTTGGCGATGATTGAGTTGTTCGGGGGTGACAATCCTCTTCAGAATCTCCTTCTGAGTAGCCATGTTCATACTGTTCAACTCTCTCGTGTAAATCCTTCATCATGCTCTTTAATTGTGCCACTTCTTGTCTCAATAAAACAGTCTCTGAGGTTTCTGCAGCAGGTTCTGCACATTGACTAAAATGTTTAGGAGGCTGGCCGTAAAGTTCGGTTCGGTAGTCCCGAAGATACCTGGGAGGCATTCTCTCTCTTTGTGGCCTTCCTCCGGCCTGACTGCCATCATGCCAAACTGAATTTGGATCCATTTTCAATATAGATGTTCTCTCCAGCTCGAAGGACCATGTAAAAGATTATGATGTTGCTGATGCTTGCTCATCGAACATCCTATATTGAGTGCACATTAAAACACAGGATCCAGGATTCAGTTTGACGGTTTATTTGCTCGTCTTCAGTGGATGATTTTTTCTGTACAATCAAAAGGAATAGAAACAAGATGTATCAACATAAAATATTACAAAAAAGGGGGGACTGATAAAGTCAAATGAATTGTAAATTGGTTAACTAATCTTACATCATAGATGCATCCACTTCGGGGTTTTAAATCAATACATATGCGTTTTAGGGTGACAGGAATCTAAAGAAATAATATTTGAGAATAAACCATATTAGAAATAATACAAATAAGGAGAATACAACAACATTTGTTAAGGCTTTGTCCGTTTCACACTTACAGTCAGATTCCCTTTGTTCAGTGCTGCTCTTGTTCAGGCTGCAAAAGGGAGAGCAGGCCTGAGGACTGGCTTTTATGGTGTTGGGGGTGTGGTTTGGCCTTGAGTGACAGGGGAGTCAGGTATGGAGATGGTGAGGTGAGAATTTGGGATTTAACAATGTAGGAGTAGGATCTAGCAGTAGTATGCATAGACATAATAAAAGATAGACCCCGCATCGGCCGCTACCACGAATGGGCGCTGTCGAGAAATGCGGCCGCCATCTTGGTCCGGTCATCCGCCTCACTCTGCACCGCTGTTTAACCGGCGGAATGAAGTCTGAGCGCATTAATGAATCATAGTTCGCTCAATACTACGTAATTTTCTTCTCTGCAAACGCCATTCAAAGAGGCATGATAGAGGCCATATTTTTTTTTGGCGTTTTCAAATACTCAGAATGAATAAAATGATATTTTAGAACATGGCAGCAGTGGCTGTATTATAGTATAACAATTAATCAAGGATATATTTAGGTTTAGAGCTAGGTTCCTGCTATGTCTCAATAATTATTAATAACTGGCGGTATTAATAGGCCAATTCAATATATATTGACTTGATTATAATTTTTTATATAGTTTAATTTTATTTATCCATTTGTAGACACACACAAATAATGTCATATAGAAGCACTATTTTAATAACTGGAAAATACATACAAATATATAGCCTACATATCAAAAAGATTTAAACACAAGAACAGCATGACAGGACAGCATCTAAACTACATATCAATTTGCTTGTTGGCTACACAGCACAGAGGAATCACTTGCTGCGAATTTCTCCCTCTAACAGCAATCTCCCACTTCTTCCTCAAGTTTTTGTCCTTAGGAAATCTTCAAAATGAAACAGGAGATCACCACAAAGAAATCTTTAATAAAACAGATAATAAAACAGAGCTCACTTTCTTCCTTTTTCTTTCTATTTTATTTCTTAACGTTTCTTAGAACCTCTCTCAAACAAAAGTTTTTCAATCTAATGCAAATCTGTTGATAATCGACCAAAGTTGCTATTATTGTGAATAAGCTAGCTGTTCGCAAATGCTGTTTCCTTTTTGGAGTTGACCGATAGTCTTCCTCTTTGGCCTACAAATGACTCTACAGTCAAGTGTAATGTTTAAAAAACGTTTAATCATAACTGTGAAAAGTTATTCCTTGAGCCCTGTTCTCTGCTGTCCGCCTGTTGGCACAGGAATACGCCGCACAGTGCTCCGGCATCGCTGAATGAATGAATATGATTGACCGGAGCGTATGGGAAGCTTGACCTGACCAAGATGGCGGTCGCATTTCTCGCTGCGCAGCACCCCCAGCGGGGTCTACCCTTTTATTATGTCTATGGTAGTATGTAGCAGTAGCATGTAGTATCCGAGCGGGCAATTCGGACGCAGCATTGGTGTCCGATGGTCATACCTCGCATCCCGTCATGCATTGCGTCTTGCCATGTCGTGTCCGAAACCCCCGGTTATTGAGTTCACTAGTTAACTATATAGTAAAACCCCATATGGGGTTATGGGTTAGGGATTGAGTGATTCATTTCGGACACAGCCTTTATTGCCAAAAGTATTTGCTAATCCATCCAAATTATCGGACTCAGGTGTTCCAATCATTTCCATGGCCACAGGTGTATACAATTAAGCACCTAGGCATGCAGACTGTTTTTACAAACATTTGTGAAAGACTGGGTCGCTCTCAGGAGCTCAGTGAATTCCACCCTGGAACTGTGATAGGATGCCACTGTGCAACAAATCCAGTCGTGAAATTTCCTCGCTCCTAAATATTCCACAGTCAACTGTCAGCTGTATTATAAGAAAATCTAAGTGTTTGGGAACGACAGCAACTCAGCCACGACGTGGTAGGCCACGTACACTGACGGAGCAGCGTCAGCGGATGCTGAGGTGCATAGTGCAAAGAGGTCGCCAACTTTCTGCAGAGTCAGTAACTAACTACAGACCTCCAAACTTCATGTGGCCTCAGATTTGCCCAGATTAGCTCAAGAACAGTGCGTAGAGAGCTTCATGGAATGGGTTTCCATGGTCGAGCAGATGCATCCAAGCCATACATCACCAAGTGCAATGTAAAGCGTCGGATGCAGTGGTTCACAAGTCCAGTCCTCGAGGCCTACTGTCCTGCATGTTTTGGATATTTCCCTGCTCCAACACACCTGATTCAAATGATTAGCTCGTTATTAAGCCATTACAGAGCCTGATAACGAGCTGATAATTTGAATCAGGTGTGTTGGAGCAGGGAAACATCCAAAACATGCAGGACAATGGGCCTCGAGGACTGGACTTGAGAACCATTGCTCTAGAGCAGTGGAGGCGTGTTCTCTGTAGTGAAGAATCGCGCTACTCCAATCTGGCAATCTGATGGGCGAGTCTGGGTTTGGCGGTTGCCAGGATAACGGTACTTGTCTGACTGCATTGTGCCAAGTGTAAAGTTTGGTGGAGGGAGGATTATGGTGTGGGGTTGTTTTTCAGGAGCTGGACTTGGCCCCTTAGTTCCTGTGAAAGGAACTCTGAGTGCTTCAGCATACCAAGACATTTTGGACAATTCCATGCTCCCAACTTTGTGGGAACAGTTTGGAGCTGGCCCCTTCTTCTTCCAACATGACTGTGCACCAGTGCACAAAGCAAGGTCCATAAAGACATGGATGGCAGAGTCTGGTGTGGATGAACTTGACTGGCCTGCACAGAGTCCTGACCTCAACCCGATAGAACACCTTTGGGATGAATTAGAGTGGAGACTGAGAGCCAGGCCTTCTCATCCAACATCAGTGTCTGACCTCACAAATGCGCTTCTGGAAGAATGGACAAAAATCCCCATAAACACACTCCTAAACCTTGTGGACAGCCTTCCCAGAAGAGTTGAAGCTGTGTTAGCTGCAAAGGGTGGACCAATGTCACTTAAGCTCATATGTGAGTCAAGGAAGGTGAGCAAATACTTTTGGCAATATAGTGTATCTTATGATCTCATTTCTTGATTTTTATTGTGCTTTTACTGAACATTTTTAATAGATGAATTTTTACAAACTTTTTGTAATCTTACATCTTGTCGTAACACAATTTGTTCAATGAATAAATGTATGAATGTTTCGCCTTAGAGTGGCTATAATGCAGTTTTCAGCTAAACAAATTGCATATTGAGGCTTTCAGAGTAAAAAGATCAAGCATTAACAACCGAAATATTGTAGTGTATTGGGCTAAATTTGCTAATATAAGCAACAACTTAGGTTAATTCTAATGTGAACGATGTAGGTTTTTAGCCTAAATATTTTAAAATTCACATATAATCACCTGCCATGTTTCTACAGAGGCATGAAATGGCTAAAAATAGTAACATACATATTTTGTTTTTACTGAGTGGCAAAAATGCACCTGTTGGAAGATAAGGACTAAGAAGGAGGAGGTGAAATGTGAACAAATGAAGGCTCACATTTATCATGTATTTCAGGGGTTTTTTTGTCCTTGAGGGCCAATGTCATTCAAGGACAGAGGGAGTGAGCAAGGGAACTCTTCAAACTGGAATCTGCAGGATGAATGCTGCTAAATATCATAATCTCTACCAACTGTAGCCTACCTTCAAGCTTGACCATCGTGGCTCACATCCGGATTTGTTACACAACAGCACAAATATCTTTTCCCTCAAGAAAATATTTTGATAAATAAATATTTCTCCCTCTGGAACTGTTTGTTGACGTCTCCCCCCCTCCTTCCTCGTCATTCTCCCTCTGTCCTTGTGTCACAGTGATTAATAGGACATTATGTAAATTTTGTCTCTCTGAATTTCGCCTTAGTTTGTCATTACTGCAGGTCATCAATCACGTCTGAAGCTCTGCACAAAGACGGCTGCTGTGAGGAAATCAATTCTCATATCAGTCGTTGTGCTAAAACTGGTGCCCAAAGCATCAATATACAATATTGGACAGCTAAAATATCACCAGGTTGAATAGACTCACTGCAGAAAACTCAAACCTGCCTTAAACTTTTGACTTTAAAGCTTGTGGAGATCCTCTGTCTTGTGGCCTTCCTCATTGTCAAGGTGCCACAATATATTTTGACCACTAGATGTCACTCTCCCCCTTAGCTTTAGGCCATGCTTCAACAGCTCTAACTGTATACTACAATTTTGGTATATGGGTAAGAAAGCACACTTTTGTGTTATCATTAAGCCTGATACTTTATTAACTCTCTTCATTCCCTTTGTAGTGTCAGCCCCTTGAATTTATATTTACGTTTTCTTCCACCGAGATGATCTCAGCACAATCAATAGAACCAGTGTGCCGCCAGAGGATGAACAGTGAGGGTGTATTCGTGTGAAGAAGACAAGGAAAGCCTTGTACAGATGTTGAAATGATGCCCCAGATTCTTAACCACAAACGGTTGGCCAATCACTGTGAAATAGGTGTGCGGGTGTACGTTCTGAAACCTCTGACCCAATTCTTCTTTCTCTAACTTTTGTTTTTAATCTTTAGTCGATAAAAATGTAGAACCTGATTTTTTCCTCTTTAATAGAAATGGACTCAAAGACAGATGATTAGGATCACAATAAAAAGGGGAAATAGTTAGGATTTGTATTTGTAAATTAACCAATAAATGCGACGAAAAGTTTAATTAACAAGAAATAAGATGTAAATGAAAAAGGACAAAGAGAGTATGAAATCTTTTAGAGGTAAATCATAAAATTTCAACTTCATTCCAGTTTCAAGTTTTCTTGTGGCTGCAGTATTCTTTGAAACCAGATTAAGTTGCACTTCATTTTTTCCCCACATGATGGCAGAGTTTACTCCCTGCTCATGCAGCTTTTTTTAAGGATTGTTCATCTGAAGCTTTGGGTTTATTTTGGACTTCCAGATGTTTCTCAGTTAGGAAAAAGTCACTCTGGGCTTTTCCCAGTCTTGCTTTGATGTTCGCTGCTCTCCTCGCTGACAAAGCTGCTTGACCACGTGATATCATCCAGACGGCAGAGTCACTTTTTATTAAACCTCTGCTGGAGGCGGCTTTGATTTGATGGTTTTAGTATCTGGTAAAAGAGGCTCTGATCACTAATTTGCTCTTTCTTTCCCAACCTTCGCCTGCAGCCTCTACACTTTGTAGTCACTGTCTGGCTGCAGTAACTTCACCTTTATTTAGCAACCTCTGTGTGAGTGTGTGAGTGTGTGTGTGTAATCTGGCAGAGAAGGCGAGCTTGGGCTTGTCCATTTGCCTGTAGAAATTCCTTCAGGTACAGGAATAGCATTGGACTAAAACTGTGTGTGAGAGAGAGTGTGTGTGTGGTTTTGGCACCCATACAGGTAGCAGCATGCTGGAAAGTTTTTTATAGAAACAGAGAGATAATTAAAAAAAAAAAACAAATCAGACCAGCAGTTACCACAGGGTAAAAGTTGTATTTTTAGAAATCAAAACTAAATGTGCACCAACAACACTGCAGTGTGTGTGTTTGTGTTAATCTGTGTGTGTGTGTGTGTGTGTGTGTGTGTGTGTGTGTGTGGAGGCTTGATGAAAAGATGCTCAAATACAAGTGTCATTTACAGCCGTTTTTATATACAACACACACACAGTCTCTGTCCATCACACACACACATGTAATGCTACCAAAACTGGAATTTGTAAGAATAAGTTAACAAAATTTCATGCTTAAAACAATAAAATTAAACAAAGAGCAACTCTGAAATCAGGATAAGTCATCCTGGAGTGAAGTCGTCAGAAGAAAACAACTTTAAATCCGGGTATCATCATGGCGTCACAAATTTGAACCATGAAAAACAATCAAATTGGGTCCAGTTCTTCAAGAATTTTAACATAAAATAAACGTGGCAAAAAAGTGCCACACAAACAGGCTTTCACAATATTTGGCATAAGCAAATCGTCTATTCACAACACCGACAACATTAACAAGGGAGTAATTTTACAAATAAAGCCGATTTGAGATCAGTCCAGTGCTGCTGCATGCACTCTGTCAGTGTAAAACCAAAATATTACCCTGCGTCTCTCTGGTCACAAAAACATTCCTGTTGAGTCCGTTTCCTCTCTCGGCTCCCTATTGGCTGATGCACCCGTCAGTCACTCTGCTTGTTTTTTTTAATTAGCCAATATTGTTTGTCAGTAGATAGTTTGAACTTGGCGAGCTCATCGGGATCCTGGTCATGTTGTGACACATAATCAGAATTAATAATCACAAATTAAAATTTTTTTAAGGCTTCATAAGAAGAAACATCAAAGACTGTATGAAACATGGCCGTAGTCATAGTACTGAGGACTTTAACTCTAGCCTGTGGATGTAAAGAAAACTGCAGTTTCTTGAGTATCCACTAGAGGCTGGCTGCAAAAGCAAAAGAATCCCCATTCGATCTGATGTTAAAATATCAGCTTTTACGTCTAAATTTGTCATGTTTGCAGCATGGTACAAGAATAGTTCTGTTCTCTGTGGCTTATTTGTTTATTCATAATAAATAAACAGGGCGAGAGCATTTTCATAACTGATATGTTAGGATTGACTCAAGGCTGAAGGTCCTTACACACCGGGGCCGACACGAATATAGAACGCGAAATCACGAAATAGCGAATTTTGATGCGCCTGACTATACACATCAAGCTCAATGCGATTTTTTTGCGACTTTCTGGGGGAAAAAAGACGCATCCCGGGTAGAAGCGAGAAGACTGACTGTTTTTCAGTTCTGATTAGACACTAGTGTTGAGATGTCTGTCTGTCATGATAGCATGTACTGAGTCGGGGCCAGTACCAGATAAATACATTAAACTATAATCCATAAACATAAGGTAACAACCGAGACCTGATGGTGCTGTGACAGCAACGCGATTGAGTTTGGTATGTTGTATCTGAACAGGTTAGCTTACGAGCTAAAGTTACTTAGCACAGATGAAAGTTAAAACAAAGACGTTTAGCAAACTGTTAAAGCACACAAACCATCGTCATATGAGAAATCTGACGCTATGACTCTCCACAAGTTGTCCTTCAGGTCGTTACCTTTGTAATATTTGTATCTTTTATCAAAAAGCACTCTGTTCTCCGACACGTAAACAATCAGCCAGTCGGCCATGTTGGATATACCGGTGAATCTGACGTCGCAACAACACGCAATCTGATTGGTCAGAAGTGGACACACAGTATGCGAAACTTTAGAAAAATCGACCATGATCCGAAAAAACAAATGATGCAAGATCGCAGGATGGGAAAACGTCGCTGATGTGAACGCTTGTATTGACAGGATATGGGTTTGAAAACAAAATTGACGTCCGAAATAACCACACAACAAAAATGGTCCCGGTGTGAAAGGATCTTAAGAGTTTTGTATAACTGGGGGCCATTGTCGGGCATCATAACACCACTGTAAAAACCTAAAGGTATAAATATTATCACCAGGTGAACGACCATGTTTTATACAGTCAATACCATGAACACTGATTTGTGTTAAGAAAATATACCACAACACAAAACTTTCCAAAACTGAGTTTTTTTTAATCTGCCATCACATGACCAGGTAGCCCACCAATGAGCTCGCACTTGTGGCGTGTTCAGTAAGGTCTCCAAACAGCTTCAGCAGCCGCCATATTCGTCGGCGAGCCACTATGGCTTGACTCCACCTCCACTCCCACTCCTTCATTCTGATTGGGCAGAGAGGGATGCAGGAGGGAGGAGCCTGTAGAGGCGTTGGTGCATGGTGGCAGGATCCTTGGCGGGGAGCGCGATTCCCCGCTGCCACCTCCACCTGCCATCATAGAGAACTGGTATGACCCGGCGGCAGTGGAGTAGTACAGATGATACGGCGAGGAGGTGGACTGGAAGGGACCATTCTGAGCCTGGTGGGGGGTGTTTGCTGGGTAAGGAGGGGGCAGGTATGTGTGGTACCTCCCCGCCGGAGTGGTAGCCATTGCAGTTGCCATGGTAATGCCAAGAGCGCCGTTGGAGACTGGGTTGTGAGATGGCGCGTAGGTGAAGGCAGCTGCTGTTGAAGGGTAATGGACCCGAGGGTCGGAGAAGCGGGAGTCAGGCAGGGAGGGTAGGGAGGTGAAGGGTCGTTCTAAGGTCATCCTGGGGTCACCAAAGGCTGTGAGGTCAGGACCTGAGGGGGGTCAAAGGTCAGAGGTTTAGACCTGTTTAATTAGTTTCTTGTAGTTTGGTGTGTATAAGCCTTTGTGTATTACCTGTGAGCCTTGAGGAGAGGTCACTGAGCGAGGATCGACCAGGGGAGAGGGGATTGGCTGTGTGGACGGTGGGAGTGGTTATCTGACCAAGGTAGGGATATGATTGGTCGTAGGACCAAGATGGAGAGGACTGCATCTGTCTGGAGTCTGAAAGAGAGAGAAAGGGAAAATGATTTACCGAGGTTGTGAGATATGTATCACTGAACTTCAACTTTTTAAAAGACTAAAATGTGGTTCCATCATCGACATAACGGGAAACACAAAATGTTTATTTCAGAGGTTAAAGTGAGGCGGACAAAATAACTCTCGCCATTTGTTTCAATTCTGTTTACATAGAGACAAAATGTGAACTTTTAACCAACTGGACTGTGTGGCGTTACCAAAAAAGTTTGAAGAAAGCAGTTTTTAAACAATCCCTACAGACAAAACAAAATCTTATCTTGGCTGAACAGCTGTGACTACAAGGGTACAAGGGACACCTGGTCCATACCTGACACATACTGGCTTTTAGACCTTTTGAACATTTGAAGTGGATGACTAATGAACACAGAGCACAGTGCAACTTTAGTTTTCCATGAGCAGCTGTGATGCTTTATGATCTGTACAAAATATTTGAGTCGAGTTTTGATGCAGACCTGGGAACGTGTCCCCTTTGAGTTTATACGTATTTAAAACATGTTAATCTTTAAAATAAAGGCTGATTTTAATAAGTGGGTCTTAAGGAACAAGTTGTTGATGGAGAAAAAGAACAGAAGAAGGAGAGAGAGAGGAAGCAATTAACTTAGTGTGGGGGTGGATGGATAAAAGGAGCGCTGTGATGTCTGTGTGTGTGTGTGTGTTCTTTCATTCAATCCAGTCTTTTTCCCCACAGTCTAATAAATGGCGCTGATCACCCACAGACTTGCAGACAAACGAGTGTGTGCGTGTGTGTTTGCGCAGTCAGACGAGGAAGCAAATTGTACACAGCAGCCGAGACGTCAATGAAAGGCTTTTCAAGTCCAGCCAAGAGCTCTCCGAAGCATTGACTCTGTGCGTGCATGAGTGTATGTGTGTGTGTGTGTGTGTGATTATGTGTGGTGTATCTGGGTGGTGGTGAAGGCCAGGCCCTGTGCCAAGCCCCCTCTTTTCCTGGCTTTTCTCCCCTGGCGGAGAGCACTAATGCGGGGCAGGAGCCACAGACAGCTGGCTGTCTGGAAATGAAACTAAAACACACAGAAAAGAGTCTCCTGGACCTCAGAGAAATGTCATGGAGCCCTTTATCACGCCGTTTGTGGTGGATTTTTGTTTCAAAACTTACAAACTAGAAGAAAAGAAAACGTAACCTATGGGGATAATTTCTGTTTGTCGTGCTCAGCTTTACTTTAATGATACCTGGTGGTTTTTGTGGCGCTCAAATTTGAGTTCAAAAGAGCCTTTTCACTGAAAAACTTGGCCTGATGTACCTCAACATGTTCACTAACATTACTGCCCCTGTTTACTCACACGCATCATGCTGTCCTATGAATTCAATACTGTACTGCAGCAGAGTAAACTAGAGTTTTACTGCAGAGCCACACTTCAGTCAAACACACACACAGTGTTGTTTAAAACATGCACTCATGAACTATCACCGCTCTGCACCACAATTCAGTATTTATTGCTCACAGTTTAGGAAATTTGAGAAGTGAAAGAAGGGAAGACAATCGCTAAAAGAGAAATGAAAGCCATGCTGGGGGGTCCGATGACGCGAGACCGAGCGTGGAGGGAAAAGAAATGAAAGGGGAAGAGAGAGAGAGAGAAATAGTAAGGGTGAAAATGGCCTAATAACGGTTTCCTGTTGCTATTTTCATTTTTGGAAGGATCAGAGAAGGCAGCACAAAGTGCTCGGCCTGCATTTCTTGGCTGTAACTTTACATCGTGTGTGTCTGTGTCTCAGAGTCTCTCACAACTATCCACTTTATTCTACATTTCAGCTTCTGCAAGTCATACAAGACTCTTTGACATACACTTATCCTGGTCAGACATATTAATCAGCCAAAATGTGGAGTGAAATTGGTGGCTGATGAAACTTTAAATCTCTTTTGTTAAAAAAAAAACGTTAAAAAATTGGAATAAACCATTTAGTAATTATGAGAAAAATCACTTGTAATTGACAGGAATACTAAATTAAATCTGGAATTGAACCATGCTACCCAACAGGCCAGCAGTGCCCCAAATGATTGGTATCTAAAGGTACAGTGTGCATGTGCAGTGATATCTAGCAGGAAGAACCTAGATTGATATGCTTCCTTGCTCACCCATATTGTTGGGGAAGCTACAGTGGCCTTTTTCCAAGTGCAGAAGGTGTTTATAACTTTGAGTTTTGGAAGTCGAAAAGTTTGATAAAGCAGCCCCTCTTTGCTTCAAATTTTTCTCACAGTAGCATTTCCTGCCAGCTGACTCTCATTTCCTCCTTCAGTCTTCACTTACTTCCCTTCTTGCAGACGCTCTCTCGCACGCGAATACAAAAATAAGAAGAAACGCTGTTTCTAATTGCAATAAAGCAGTTGTATGTGTAAACACACACACACACACACACACACACACTGCATTACTTCCACTGAAGACAGAAGAGGAACAGATACCGTCTATTGGTACCACATAGAGTATCCACGGCAACCGCAACTCACACACACACACACACACACTCTCACACAATTACACAGGTACACACACACACATACACACACACACTGAGACCACAATGGATCTCCAAAAAACCACAAAGAGGAAGAATGAGGTTTGATGCAACTGTTGGCACAGATTAGGTTACTCAAACAAATTTCATGTGTTTGTCGCTAAACGGACGAATCTGTCAGACAGTCAGAAAGTGGCGAACACACGCTGAGGTCCGCCTTCACCTGGCAGTTACAGAGAGGAACTTAAACTCACTGTTAGAGAGAGGGGATTGGTACCACTGGCAAAGAAACTTGTGCTCACTATGTCCATCTGCTTTACTAACACACACACACCTGCCCTCTCTTTGCACCTGTGCCTCTTTTTGCGCCTGTATTAGCAATTAAAATCTTCTGAAATTTGATCAAAAACGGCATACTTGTTGATAATGCCACAGGCTATGAATTAGCATCTCCATTCGTGTTTGTGTTCATTGAAAATACCGTGGTTTAGCAGTGATAAGCTCAGCTTACACTCTTCTGGAAGTACTTACATTGCTGTCACTGAAAGTACTTCACTGCTCACTTTTACGTTTGACTTTTAACCACGTGAAATGAAAATAAAATGTATGTTATGATATGTATACACTATGACTAGGTGGTGGGAGGGCAGGTGCATCCTTAAAAGGAGAGAATTTCTCACATCAAGACAGTGATGAATCATTTGCTGAAACGACTTGGTCACACACAGTGACAAACGCAAGATAAGATCCAAAAATGTCTCCTGCGGTGCTGTGAAAAAGAGCCGTTTCCTCAGAAAGATGAAGTCAACCTTGGCTAAAATACTCCACGGACGTTATCTCATCTCTGACTGTGTAGGAACATCATCGACTGGCAACATCACACAGAGTTTAGAAATTGCCCTCAGTCCCCAAAATGAAGTCAGATGTCTTCATTATTGGTGGGGTTTTGTCTAAAGGCAGTTTGGAAAAATGACAACGCCAAGTTCGTGAAGCTGCATAAATTAAAGAGTTTAGACCGAATCCCTTGGTGGCCTTTTGCGTGATTGGTTGAGCAGAAGTTTATGTGCCAGTGGGCTATTTGCACTTGATTTGAAGTAAATGGTAACTGGACCACCCTTACAAAACCCTTTCATCGCCATCCCACTTATCAAGGAACATTTATACTTTATACCCCACAAATCCACATGGTGCCACCAATATGGAAACTATTAATTTATTAAAACAATCTTTTCAGATGCAGACACAGACATGTAAATCCTGGGAAAAAACTAAAAGATTTTTAGGCAACAAAATCAGACATGTCTGACTACTGGATGAGCTTCCTCTTCTCCAAAATATGTATCACACGTATTTTTAGGCCTGAGTGATTGCCTAATGGACTGTGTTTGAGCTCATGTAGACAGTTCAGCTATGTAGTTTCTCAATACTAAAGCCAGGGTGGTTGCTCAGGTACTTAAGCAGGTCAGTGCACAATTGTAGGGCTGGTGGATGTCTGGCTCTTCTGCCCACTCATGCACTGGTGGGTGATTGTGAATGATGAGAATCAGCACTTTGTAAAAGTTGTGCTGTATTCAATCCACGCAGAAGCTTTCCACCACTAGAGGCAGCACTGACCTCATTATGAATAGACTCAGTGATGTCACCTATTGGTTTCTTTTGGGAATGCTACAAAGCTTACCAGCTGTTATCTGAGTGTGCGTAGGGCTGGAGAAGGTGGCGGAGTTGAGCGTTGCAGATTGGCGAGCGTTAGCAGTTGCTTGGTGGTGATGGTGGTGAGGGGGCGTCACCCTCATGGAGCTCCGCCTCAGGTGCTCCAACTCTGTGAGCCTCTCCGAAAACGCCAACGTGCCAGGTTTGACCTCGTCCATCTTTTGGCGATGACCTGGTTGAGGAAAATGACACGGCATTGCCATGGTTACAGTTTATCCCACCCTGGCACCCTGCAGCATGGAGGGGTGATTTGTCAACATAGATTCATGCGTGTAATCTGATTACATAATCCAGGGATTACAGTAACAGTTACAACCCAACACAGGCTATAACAATGCCCTGACATTATTAACACACACACACACTTCGTCTGCTGTTACGTTTGGGAATCTGGTGATGGGCGCCGCATAGGGTCGGCCTGTCTCCCCAAGTGTGTGTGAGTATGAGTGTGTGTGTATGGGGCGGTCTGTCACGCTGTCTGTGGTGTTGGCTGCACTTCAAAGCGCTAAGACTGAGCTCCAGTTACAGGCACTTCCTCCCAATGGGGGAAGTGTACATGCATGTGTATTAATACTGTGTGTGTGTGGGTGTGTGGGTGTGTGGGCGAGTTAGAGACGAGTGATGGTTATTCACAGCTGAGCAGCGCTGGCAGGAGTCTTCCTCTCTTTCTGTCACCTCACCTCTCTCCTGAATCTTCCGACCACTGTCCCTCAGCTCAGTAACATTTGAAGAAAGAATTATCCATGTAGCTTATTTACTTGAAAACAAAACCAGTTTTCCGCTCAATCATCTGCCAGAAGAAATCCCTGTGTTTCATCACACTGAGTGGGAGAGGAACTCAGAGTTGCATCAGATCCTGACTGACTCACTCAACTGAGACTTTGTTCGTTGGGATTAGAGGCATGTATTCACCAAGCAAGCCCAGAATATGTCTCGAATAATTGTTTTATTTGATCACTTAAACTTGTATTTGTCATATCGTAGACTCAAATTGCACATTCCTGTAACTGGAAGATCAAACATTACTTAAATCTTAATAGCATAATGAGGATCTTGAGGACAATTATTACTGCTGTTTTGGATTTTTAGACCTTTATATGTGTGCTGTATTCATGGAAAGTTGAGTGAAATGACTGAATGAATGAAAAAATATAGAGGACCCAGAGTCGAACCCTGTGGAACTCCAGTTGTTAAAAACAACTAACAACATTTGTGTGTGAGTGTCACTCACGTCTTGGCTCTCTGGGACCATCCACTGTAATCTTGATGGCTCTCTGGTACGTAGCCACCTGAGGAGGGTTGGTGAACACTGTGATGGTCAGAGTAAAACTTTTCCCTGTGAAAGAAAAAAGAGAGCAAAAGTAGAGGAAGAAAATGGATAGGGATAGATGAGCAGAAAAAAAGGAGGAATGGGAGAAAAAACAGATCATTAGTATGAAAAATTCAAGTAACACTCTAGTCTTTCTTTTCATCTTCCCTCTACCTCCTCCCTTCTCTCCCTCCTGCTCTACTAAAAATATCCTTTTGGTCTGTTTAATGCATTAAGTCATGTAAGTCATGGTTTCTCCAGACAGGAATGAGCCAGAAACCAGAAACCACACACATACACTAACAATTACACATAGATAAAAATGGCAATACAAATGTTTGGATACGATACCTTACACTGTGTTACGTTATGATTTGAAGCCAAAGCACTTTCTTTAAATCCTAGTTCTTCCTGATACTTACTTCAGTCACTTCATCTGTGCTGTTGCTACGGTTACTTACATCCTAAAAAAGTGTGATCACCGATTTAGTGAAGAGGATAAAGTGTAAAAGTATCCAAAAATACAACTGAAAGGGTCATTTGCCAGCCAATCAGAGACAAGAGTTTAATTTGAGCGTGCTGTAATCCAAAAATATCAATCATAAAAAAGTAGTATCAGCTGTATATCCGCTGTAACAAATGTTTGCAGTGTACCACACATTTATAGTTCATGTGGGTTTGTGTGTGTGGACCCTGTCGAGGGGGGTCACTGCCAGCCTCAGCTTTGGAAGTGGCACTCAGTCACCACTAAGCTTGCTTCAAACACACATACCCACACACACACACACACGTGCAAGACCACCACTGTTGTTGTGTGTGCCAAGGCTGGAGTAGAGTTACCACATGCAGACAGTCTGATGCCACACACGCTCACACAAATGGCAGACGTACAGTATGTGGGTAATGCCAGGTGTTACTCTCACTTCTCTCTCTCCGTCTCTCTACTTCACAAAAGTTTGATTGGATATCTTTTTTTAATTTAACTTACAGCATTTGTAGTTTTGCTGATTTGTATATTTTCTCATTTGTGTTTACTTGCTATGAAATACAGTGTTTTCGTTGTCACTTGTATCTTTAATTTTCCCCCCTTGACATAAGGTGAATTGTGATAAACCTTAAAAATACTACTGTACTCCTATGAGATGACAAACTCGGGGCGAGTGTTAATGTCATTTATCTTATTCTGCTACACTTAAGATACATGAGGTGTTAGCTCAACTTTGGTCTTTGTGCCGTCTGCTGACTATTGTAGTTGCACCTACTAGCCACTAGAGGCTATGTTATCTCTTTTTTTCCCCATTACTCTCCTAATAATGCCCATAAACTGTGTAAAAAGCAATTCTCCCCATACAGAGTGTATTAGTATACGTTAACAAACTAATTGTTCAAAATTAATCGTGTTCGCTGTCAAGGAAACATGTAGTGTGTTTTTGTGCAGGTTGTTTACACAGAGAGAGTCTACAGTAAGAGATTTTGGCTGATAAAGACAGACAGGAGGAGGGAGAAAACAGCTGAGCTCTTTGTGTCTGCTCGCTGTATCAGCCGACACACTCACACACACACACACACACACTCCAAAACAGTGTTTTCCGGGACTTTCTGTCTAAACACCCCCGTGTTTCTCTTATCCAATGCAGATAGGAGCAGATTTAACACATGAGGTAAATTGTGTGTGTGTCTGTGGACATCTTGTTAGGACTTGCAGAGTCTGGGTCCTCCACTTTTGTCACAATCAGCTGATCAGACGGATTCTCTTATTTACACTTGCCCTCAACAATGCAATATGTGTGTGTGTGAGTTTGTGTGTGTGAGTCAGTTCCTGGAATAACAAGGTGGTGTTTGTGCATAATACTGTGAATGTTGAGAGTCAGATATTGTGAAAGAGAAAAAAGACGGGCCTGTTTAAAAGAGGAACTTGCCGAGAGACTCAAAGCTGGTTGCACATGCGCACATACATACAGACACACTCATATAGACACACACATACAGTGGTGCAAGATGTGGCGGCACCTCAAACAACCATTTTAAATGCACGTTATTAGGGGTAATGCATTAATTGTTAACTAGTTTCTTTCATATGACATCCATATTGTACCATACCATGCTGTATCGTATCGTATTATTACAGTACAGTAGTAGAGACTTTAAAGTGAGGTAGAAATGTCATTATGGATTTAGTCCAAATCATGGAGTTTGTGACTTGTGCATTGGTGATGTGGACGACATTAGAAAAAACAATGATGGACGGTAACTAATACCCGGCTGTAGTCGGAAAGCTGAACCTGGAGTGTTATTGTGTTTGCATGGGTTGGGCACAGTCCAAAGAAATGCTTGAAATGTTACCTAGGAATTCAAAGTTGCATGGAGGTGTGAGAGTAAGTCTCTCTGGTTTTTTGTTAAATGCAAGACACGATAGGCTCTCAGCCTTGTGGGACCTCAGGAGGTACAGATAATGGGACTATTGAGAGGCTGTATGTCCTCCTCCTGAATTTAAAGGTCTTTAAAACCCACTAAAACTCATGCTTGTAAATAAGTTTGAATCGACTGATTTCACGGACTCTGTAAATCATCAACTCTGAAACGAAACAGACGCATCTACTCAGACTTTTTGTGATCAAAATAACTCCAACTGATATGCAAATCCACTCGGCAACCGCTTTGCCGTGTGTACACATATCTGGCGTTTCAGTCTGTGTGTTGTAATAAGTACTTCTGCAAAAACAGAAACACTGACTAATGATGACTGAATATGAGACATTTAACACCGACTGCCTCCCACACACAAACGCGCTAACCGCTAGTCAAACCACTGAACCGCTCATTGCTGTCTGCAGCTAAGCTAACCACTTCCCACGCGGACAGTTAATGACACTCGGAGGTTTGAGGTGGTGAAACTCGACTTTTTGTGGCTTGATAAGCATTTTGTCACATACACTCATGACATTTCATGGGAAAATAGGGTAGGGAGGTTTCATCTGCTACAAAGAAATCCTAGGATAGGCGAAATTATTCCCGATCAATGCCAGTTAGCCAAACGCCAAGACCTGTTAGGACATTTTCAGTGATTTTGACGTGGTTTTAGAGTGCAGGATTGTCAAATATTGACAGTTATTTCCCTTCAGCTGTGCAGCAGTTGTCATTTTAATGTGTGTGTGTATGAATGTGCGAGTGTTAGCAGAGCTTGTGTACACAGGCCTGGTGTTTTAAATAGATAAGTTGGGACATTTGCCTGCGACTGATTTAGAGTAACTGAGGTCTAGTGTGTCCGTTAAAGACATGAGGGAGGGAGAGAGGAGGGGGGGAGGCAGAGCGAGATAGACTTTGGATGGTTGTGTTACAAGGAAGTTGTGTGAATACTGTTTTTATTCACATGTACTTCCCCTAATTTATTCATGCTGTGTCGTGTGCTTGTGAAAACACAGGTATTACATTTCAGTCTGACTTTTTTTACGTGTGTTTACCTCGTCCGCTGCGGCCGACAAAGCGTAGATCGTTGAATCTTGCCACTTGGTTCTTGATGGCGGCTGTGGCGTTTCGAAGCTCAGCTGAATAGTTCTCGTCGTTTCCTGCCATCACTGTCACCAGGGTGCCGTCAGGTATATCACCCAGGGCAACCACCTGGAGACACACCAGGAAAAAGAAGCATGAAACAGTGTCTCCTGTTTGATTTGCTTGATGCCTGTATTTTTCAATGTACTTGATTAAAAAGTGCTCGTCAAAACACTGACTCTTGAAGAACTTGTTCGGTAAGAAGTGCTGCTAAAATAGCTGTAGAAACTAAAGCTGAGGATTATAAAATTTAGGTTTTTTAGCTCTCAAATTTCAGATTAAAGCTGCAGCTGGAGTCAAATGCAAATAGTTTCACCTGTTAAAGCCAAAAGTTCCCAAATGGAAACACAGAAAAGTGCCACACACACTCTGAGTGCACTAGAGAGCACATCCCCTCCTCCACAGCAGCAGGAGGCTGATTTTCATATTAACGTTAATCAAACCAAAGCATCAGTGTGCAAATGACCACAGAGATACTGCGCTACACGACACACGGTTTCTCCCTGAACCCTGAGTAACCACAGCTGTTAGAGGATCACCTCTGAAAACAACAAACAGAAGTTTCTCAGAACAATAGCAGTCAGACTCTGTCGCTTATGCTCTCAAAGTGAGCATGAATGAGCTGAAACATCAATATGCTGATGAACCAATAATCAACCAATGACAGTATTGATAAAAGCCTGTGTATTTACATAATAATAAAGCAGTGAGGTCTAAAAGAGGGTGAAAACACACTCTTGTTCACTGGACTCGGCTTGAGAGCTTCATAATTGTTTCCTTTGTCTTGTTTATTCTGCCGGACTAGTTTTCTGCCTCATTGCTGTGAGTGTGTGTGTGTGTTTGTGTCTGTGTGTGTGTGTGTGTGTGTGTGTTCCCCAAACAGTATATAGTGTGTATCATGTGTGCACCACATAAGCGCCTGTGTAAACCTTTTCCATGTAAGGATATCTTGATTTACCATGTTATCCATTATGAGTAAAAGGGAGTGACATCCGCTCATGACACTCCATAATGATGCATAATGCTCCAAACAAACACACAGCAACACACACACACACACACACATGTGCTGATGTGTGGACGCTAATGCATAAAACTCAATAAATCAATCAGTTGTGCGTTTTGTGGCTGAGAGCTGCTTTTCTGTAAATGCTTTCGGTCTCAAAGTGCAGGAAAGACGTCCACTCACACACAAACATGGACGCTTATACACACATTTTAACATCGGTGCACGAGGGATTACACTGTAAAGCAAAATAAGTCATTGTGCCTGTGTAAATATTAAACCAGCATATGTTAAATTAATATTTTCCTTTGCATATAAGGGAAATATATGGAGGAAAACATACGCTCATCATAAAGCAGTAAATACAGACTTTTTCCCCTCGCATAAACAGATTTAAAGATGTGTTTTCAGTGCTATTATTTATTAAATTTGATGCTTGAACTTTCCCTTGATGCTTGAGCTTTACATTCCCTGACCTTTACTCCATAAAAAAAAAAAACAAGCTGATAGTTTATCTCAGGAGCTTAAAAAGTTTCTGGTTTTAATCTACATCAATTTAAAACTCGTATTTACTTCAATACAAATTAGACTTTAAAGCTCCTGTGAGGAATTTTCACTTTGTCTTAATTATAGTGTGGACAAAGCTCTGCCTTTAATCTTTGATTATTGTATTCTGTACAAAGTTATATGACAAAACTTAAACATAATAGTGGCTGTTTCTGCAGAATTCTGTCCACCTGGCACTTACCTCTCACCACAGTTTTTAGAGTTAATAACAACAACACAGACAGAAGCAGACTGCTTGTTGTGAGTCTTATTCAGTTCATTTAGTCATGTAGGACTATTATAATTGACTTGAGTGTTTTTTATAACCAGTGAAAAAAACTCCTTAAAGTAGCTTTAATATTTAGATGCTTTAATGTAATAAAAGTAGTAAGTAACACACCTTGAAGGCGATGGGCAGGGTCTTGTTACACCTCCAGTGTGTGGGCAGCACCGAGCACAGGAAGTTAGGACTGTCAGTCTTCATCAGCTCACCTGGATGGTCAGGAATCACCTGAAACATACACCGCAGTTATCTCCCATGTGGTGTGAGAGCAAACTCAATCAGAGTTTTTACATTTATCTTCATGTTCTCGTACCTCCACCATGCCGCGGTCGGCCATGCGGAGTTTGCCCACCAGAGAAGACCCGCCTCCAGCCTCCTGGGCACCCAGCGGAAGTGCCTCGGCCATCTTCCCCCCTGAGGCGAGGGTAGTGGAGGGGGGGGTGTAACGCCGGCCAGGGGCTGGGTCTGAGGACAAAAACAGAAGTCAGTCCAGTTCGTTTACAGCTCTGGATTAAAGATTGACTCAGTAAAAAACCTATGTAACATTATTTCGTCATGTTAGTCAATCAATTCAGACTTTTACAGCTTTTATTTTGGTAAAAACAGATTTTTTTCTAGTCTTCCTGATAGTTTTAGCTGTTACAGATTAGTTAAATCTATTAAATGTTGGTTTAGATAGCATAACACATTGTGAATGTCCAAAAAAAGTGGACTAATCATACATAAAAAAATCTTAAATGACCAAAAATATGAATGGGATTTGGTTTATCTTTATACAGGTTCAGTGAAAAACTGAGTGAAATAGACTTATATGAGAGCTGTATGACAAAATAAAACCATGAGACAAAAAAGAGAAAACCAGTCGTGTAAAAGTCAAACACACACGCACGCACACACACATTACACTATGACACACACTGTGCTCACACATACCAGAGCGTGCAGTCATCAGGCTGCAGTCTGCAGCCGCTCTCTGCTTTCAGGGAATAATTGTGAGGGAAGAGAGACGCTGATAAACGGGCAGCTGTCTGTCTTTCACTCTGTCTCTCTTTTCCTCTCTGCTGGTTTGTCAGGCGGCCAACCCACAACTGCAGCCACATGCTGGCGGTTTTGGAGTTTAGTTTACAGTTTGAAACCCTCACTCTGACACCGCCGTATTTACCTCACAGACTGTAACCTCAGTGAGAACGACCACAGACGCAGGAGCACAGAATTACCCACCTTTTCTTATGGGATCATAATTTCAAAGTTTGTTGATTTGTCTTGACTTCACTGTTAAATCTGTGAATCATCTTCTAAAAAAACATTAACGTTTCTATCTCTGCTGCTCTTTGTCTCTCAGTGTCACCATGCCATCGTCAAAGGAGCAAAACTGAAAGCTGAAGGATGCAGCGAGGGTGTAAATTGAGCTCAAGGCTGCGCCAAGAGGTAAAATCATCTGAAATTAAACCCTCTACACCATTAAGTGACACCAAGTTATTCTCATTTTTCAGCAGATTACTGTTGTAGTAAATGTCAGGTAAATGTTAAATTTTAAGGCCCTCTGCGACTGAAATTGAGGCTGACACTGCTGTGCAAAGTTAGGGGAAAGGCATCAAAAACAGGAGAGAGAAACAAACATTTCTCTTGCAGATTATGGAGTTATATCTAGTAGGAATAATTCAGTTTGACTTATTAAATATAGTCCAAATTAAAGCCTGAAAAATAAAGATTTTCGGGGCCTCAGTAACCAGAAATGAAGCCGTGTAAAGTTAAGAGAAAATCCGAGAAAAGCTTTTGTGAATTATAGAGCTGTATCTGCTAAAAATATGTAGGAAAAATAAAGTGTTTATATCATTTGTAGGTGTACGCTTTAAATATAACCCTAATGGGTGGTACATGTTCAGTTTTATTGGCTTTTTATGAGCACACGGCTGCTTCGAGAGGTGAAATCATCTGAAATTCAAGCAGTTATACGACTGGAGCAGCAAAATCAGCGGGAAGGTGATCCAGACTTATTCTCTCCTATTAGTGAATTACTGCTGTGATAAATTTTCTTCTTTTTATTTTTGATTTTAAAAACCTTTGGGACTAAAAGTTAGGCTGGTGCTGCTGTGTGGAGTCCGAGGAAAAGCAGCAAAAATGAAGAGATTGATAAAGAGAATGATCATGTTTTACTTTATAGGAAAAATAATGTTGATAGCGTGAAATAAAGCCTGAAATATGACCCAGCATTGCTCCACATCCTCACATCATTAAAATACAGCCATTATTAGCAATATTTAACCACTTTATAGCATCTAAGTGTGAAAAAGGGGAAAACTTTTATGTTAAATTTACATTGAAGTTGTTATTTTCAAAAAATTATTTTGCACCTCCTTGCAAACTTAAACTTGATATCTGTGGTAAACCAATGGAGGAAGTTACAAATACAAAAGCAGAAGATCACTATCATTTTACCTCCTTACAGCTGATAAAATAACACCATATAAAAAGGGAACTATTTAAGAGGTCCTCAAATGCAACAGCCTCATTAAAATCCTGGCACAGAGAAGCACATTTGGGTTTAAAGGGAAATAAAGGGATCAAAAGAAGATGAAATCCATCACAGCGATGCGCAGATGACTCGCATATGTTCCCTGACACGCACATAAAACTGTCACCTCCGGCTTCACATACAAAATCACAAAGATGCGCTATTATTCTCCTCTTAAAAAGCTTTATCCAAGAAAAAGAGGGTTTTTACCGTATTTTGCGTCCCACAGAAACACCATTTGTGCGCCACAGTGCGCCCACAGATACTCAACTTCCCCGATCTTCACCGTAAAAGTCCGGATTCAGCTTTGAAATTCAGATTTCTTTCGTCAAAATTCGCCACTTTGTTGTCCTCTTCTTGTTATTGTCCGTAAATAGTCGCCTACTGTCGTGCCACGCAGCGCCCCGTTCGCGCTGGAGTTCACCCTTCGTTCTTAAAAGTCCCTTAAAGTCCAAAAGAGATTTCCAAAGCTTGAAAAACAACAGATAAGAGATTTCTAGTCTTCTCCTTTTTCAATAAAAGTCACTCTTGTTGGATTTTGAGGAGTCTTCGAAGCTCCGCGTGTCTCCTTGTTGCCGATCGATCGCGCTCTAAACATCGAAAATCAGACAAAACATGCAAAAAATTCCGATATAACTTCAACTCCTCTGTTTAAAATCTTGTTCAGTTTTAATACAGAATATATCGCCACACTCACGCCACACTCTCCCCCTCTCTCTACCCGTCTACATGAATGGCATCCCGGCTGACAGCGCCAGGCTTTTACCGGCAGACCTCCAGATTTGCATTTCATCCGCACACAGAGCGACTCTCAGCCAATCAGAGAGCGCGCCGCTGCCTGTAACCCGAGAGGGACGGGCCAATCAGCGTTATGTCCGTTCGGGAGGGGGCGGTGCTTAGAGGGAGAAAGAAAACGAAGCCGTTTGCTGACATGCTGAAGTGACTTTATCTCTTTGAGATTAGGGTGTGAACATATGCAATCATCTTACATACGCTCAAGATGAATATAGTGTTAAATATCTGAGAAATAGTTTTACTGGGATGAAAAACGAGTTTAAAAAATAAGTAAATAAATAGAATTTGCGGAAAAAAGCGTTTAAAACATGCAAACATTAAAGAAGGTATCAAAGCTTTACATGGAAAAAGCAACAAAACCATCTATTTCTAAGTTTTCATCTTTTTCCTTTGTTTAAATTTATTTTTTATTGTAATTTATCAAATTATAATAATCAATTTCATATGTGTTTAGACACATAATGTCAATAAACCTGTTTGATTCCCTGAAAGTGCAATAAACCACTTTTTGTTCAGGTGACAACGAAGGCAGACCATCACAGCAGGCTGTCAGTACAGCATACAAACGATAGGGGGCAGTAGGTGATCTGAGTCATGAACAACAGCAAGTCAAACACACACTGGAGGCAATCAGAGAGGTCAAACCTGACTTCATTTATGAAAAAAAAGCGTCTTATTGCCAGAAAAAAACTGATCAAGTCCCCTTCATTATTATTTTTAGCAACTTTAACATTTAAACATAAGGCAGCAGCTGAAATTTACAACAGATATATACTGTTTTGAACAAAATAGGTAACAAAAAATAATTTATAAATACACATTAAGGTTCATTTTAATGGATGAATTTGGAATTAAATCCCACCACACTTCAATTTATTTCCATGCAGATCCTATGAAGTTGTTCTTATTTATTATTACATTATTTAAATGTATCTTTATGCTATAAATGATGTTCTGTATTTTATTCAGGATCCATTATTTTTTATTCTTGATTTTTTTATTTTGCATATGCAGTCTTATCTATGGTGATGTCTGTTGGTAACTAAAAAAATTATCATTTTTGTTATTGCAAAGTCACTCATGATAAACGAGTTGGTCAGGCAAATTTGACAATTAAGGCATATTTAATTTAATATAAACATTGTATTGTAAAGTTTTCAGAGCTTTTTGGTTTAATTTATGATGACTATTTGTAAAACTAAGAGTGAGATGCTTCAGCCTGCAGTCAGCCTGTACTCTTCTGTGCAGAAATGAGAAACACAAATATTGATAAAATATTTAAATTTAAACACAAAATTGTGCTGGGAAATAAAAAAAGGATACTTTCAGTTCAATATTGCAGGACAAAAGCAGAAATGCATTTTCTCATGATGTTTAGCTACAAAGAAATCAGAAAAAGCTTGAATCACATCTTTTTTAAATGGAGTTTGTTTCTCATTCTTCTATTCGTAAGAAATTATGTCACATTTTCACAAAAATCTATCAATTCTTATTTAAAAGACGCTTAAATCTCCATGATATAAACTATTTTAATTGTGCCAGAATTAGAATTTCTTTTTGCTTTTAAACTCTGACAAAAATCCAGACTGTGTGAGTTAAAGTTTAAGACAAGGAGCTGAAAAGACAGTAATAAGATTCAAAAGGGTGTTTAAAGGCATTTGTGAGGTTTACATCCTGTGTAGTGTCTTAATTTTGATCTGCTCACACCAGTGCAGCCAATCTTTGAGTCTGGTGAGAGCCTGATATGTGAGAAATAAATTTCAAATAAAATCTTCATCAAAGGATTGGATGAAAAAAATGTAGAGAAATGTAATTGTCCATAATAACTCTACAATATATTAAAAAGAGCCTCTCAGACCTTTTTGAAGCAGAAACACCATATTTGTTTACATCGTTGTTCAAATCAAAGGCAGTTTTGATTCCTAATCCCTCCCTTCTTCATAATAAACCCTTATTCTGAAAGGTTTAAGTATTCAGTGTCCTGAGCACCCCCCTCATTGGGGTCTTTTTAGGAGTCAGTTGATTTGATTCGAGTTAAACCAACATGCTGTCGGATGAGTTTTAGAGAAACGCCACTCTGCTCCTTCCTCTCTTGCGTCCCTCTGTAGCCGAAGGGGAGATGATAAAAAATGTAAAACGCCTCCACTCTCGTGTCGGCCTGAGATGGACGCTGACGTGATTTGCCTTTGGAAATATCTATTTTTCACTCCCTCGTCTGGGGCCTGTTAGTCCCTCTTTTTTTTAAAACTGGTGATCTGAAGACCACCTGTGTATTCAGCTCTTCAGGATGGCGTGTGGGAAAAAAAAATCTCTGACTGAAACTAAAACTGCAAAAAAAAAGCAGCCAAACTTGAATTTCTCTGCAGCTACAGCTCATCTGCCAACCTGCAATTTCATCAGAGTTAGTGTCATTAAATCTGACACTGGACATTTATTCCTGATAGAACCACATTGATTAATAATGCAGACACTATAGGATGCTTTGAAACTATATATCTGTGAATTTCAGGCCTTTTGCCAAGAGACAGACACACTCTATACCAAGTTTAAGTGCCTGTGGTGGCTCGTACAGCCAAACATCATAGCACCGTCATGTTTTAAGATCCTTTTAATGCCAAAAGTATCAAAAATGTCAAATAATGATTTATAGGTATTTTATTTTCTCTGCCATTAACAATTAAAAGTTTGGATCCTCTCTGTTTTGCTCAAATGTGCCTTTCTACACAATCCTATAACTGAAATTCTGAAGCAATGAAGTTTATGTCAATAGTAAATGATCTAATAAAGATATTGGCAAAAAAAAAGGGGGAAAAAGGAAGGAAAAAGCCAGACAGAGGAGGAGGAGTTAGATTTCGCTCAGCAAGCGTTTACCACTGACTGACTGGTCACACGAGCTGGTCTTTGTTCTCCGATCCATAATCAATACTCGGTCACAATCATCTATTGAAGTTATTGATGGCAGCTGTGTTTTATATAATCAGCCATAAAAGGAAAACTCTCAATTAAATTAAATAAAAAACACAAAATCCTCAAATACATGAAGGATCCAAGAAACAATATGACAAAATAAGAGCATGCTTGTTTTTGCTTTAAGGTTCATATGCAAACCTGACAAAAAATTAAAGAAAGACATTATTTGCAACATTTAAATCAGCCTTAATAGCCTTAATAATTTCAAGTGTTAAAAGATTTACTACATTTTTGAACATTAAAATAAAAACTATTTAATCTTGACTATAGAAATATCCTTAAAGTTTGTAACTGTCTCTGTTCCCTCTGTTTAGATTCAAGTCGATGTCAAAGCGTTTCAATATCTCTACAAACACCGTCTTAAACCAGTCTTCTCAAATTGACAGAACTAATCCAGGACCTCGTATTAAAGCTCCTGTAGGTAGTTTTTCACTAGTTTTGAAATGTAGTAAAATTAATATCTCTTGACAACCTACTAAAGCAAACTAGACCACAATAATAAAGATTGATTATTTCTATGTAGTCATCTTTAGTATTGGTAGGTGTAAGGTGTAGCCAATATCCCCTTAAACTGAAAATTCTTCACAGGAGCTTTAAGTCAGTGAGCAATTTGGTTGAATTCATAGCAAAGCACAACGTCTGGCTTTTATAACAGCTTCGTATCATGCGTAACATACTTGAAAAGAAAACGTGGCATGCACTGAGAATCTGTGTTTAGTTGGGAATGTACAGCGTTCATCAGGCTGACACCTACCCTGCAGCAATGGCTTCAGGCAGCAAATTCAACAACTTTAAACTTGTCACTCATGTCGCTAATGGTCTCATTTGCTTTTCTAACTCTTGAGGAGACATCCATACTGCTTTTAGGCTGTTTGATAACCAGATAAAATCCCCCCACAGGAGCTTTAAAGTGAATTTTTAGGAGGATTTAAGTGTGACAAGCTCAACACAGACACTTAAAATCAGCAGAGGCCTGTACAACACTATGAAATGCAGAACAAAAACATGGCTGAAACTGGCTAACATCACAGAAACTGGTATGAATGTGTCATAATGATGATGATGATGATGACTATGAGGCGTGGAACAAGCTTTACCAAAGAGTCCGCTTCCTGTCCGGCCTTTTCTCATCAGGTACATGGCCCAGGACAGGGGGCCCGAGCCGGAGAACGCCCCAGGGTTCATGCTTCGATCCTGGGTGCAGAAGCGGCAACTGCTGGGGCCAAAAGTCCAACACCCAGAGGGAAGAGCAAAGATAATACCAAGGTAAAAATAATGAGGAGAAAGGAACAAATTGTAGGAAAAAGCAGGGAAAGGAAAAGTAAACACAAAGAGAAAGAAAAGGGACCACTGGGATGATTTCTTCTTGATTTAGTCTCAAGCCTAAAATTTGAATTAGCGAGAGTAAGAAAACTCTCGCAGATAAAAGGCACTCCAGCCTGTCCTCACCTCCACAAACTGCTTTTATACCCCTTCATCTCTCTCCTCACCCCCCCTCCCTTTATCTCACCCTTCATATTAGCAAAAAACATGAAAAAAGTGAGGGAGTACGAAGCGAGGGAGTGAAGAGGAGGAGGAAGGAAGGAGCCAGTCAAGCTTAATTCATTCCCTCCTTCTCTAAAGCGTAGCCACGGGGGACACGGCTCCACTTTGCCCTCAGGCTCTTTAAAGCTGCTAATTTCATTTAGCTACTCAAACGATTTCCCCCCTTTTTTCCTTCTTTCCTTCATCCTTTCTTCCTCACTCTTTCCTTTTTCTCTGAAGTTCTGGTTAAAAATTGAGGTCAGAAATTGGGGTCCTAATTTAAGTTTTTTTGTGAACCTGTTTAGGACTTAGATCTTTACATGTAACTTCTCATTTTCATCTGTGGACTTGTTTTTTTTCTGGTTATAAAACTGACAAAAATTAATATACATCCACTGATGTGACCTACTTCAGCAAACAAGACTGCCAAACAGAAGATTAATTAATTTAATAACGTTATTTTTAATGCCTTAAACCGCTGATGGCAGGTAGGTGTCAGACCAGAGGGGGCGCCAAATTCAACACAAACTAAAAGTTCCTCACTGGAGCTTTAAGCCTTTACCCAGCTGTGTTAAAAGCTTGATTCTGATTGGTCAAAACCTTATCACAAAGGAAATATCAAATCAATCTACGGTAGGAGGCGGCCTGTTGACACTGTGGCAAAAATGTCTGTTTCCCTCTCCGGTCTCATCTTACACCTGATAAACGTTTAACCAGTAGAGCCGAAGTTTGATCGTATCACCCTTTCTGGACCTTCCTCTGCTGGTTCAAGCTAAATCCAGATCCAGATCCAAACCTCAAGGTGACCACTACGACACACACACACACTGCTGGACACTGAGCTTCCCACAGAGACTCTCCCAGAGGTCCTCTGGCTGGTGACATCACCACAAACTCCCAGTGTGTGTGTGTGCCTGTGTTAGTGTAGTTGTGTGTGTAAATGTGTGTTTAGAGAAAGACAGAAACTGTGTGTGTGTGCGTGTATTTGTGACTGTGTGAGCCCGGCAACCTCAGACCAACAGTGTGTCTGGTGTGTCACTGGGTTATGGTGAGCCACTGTGGTCGTCTGGAGTGCGATAGTGTGTGTATGAGTGTTCATAGTGAGCCAAAACCAGGCCCAGGAAAGCAAAGTTTATCCTCTGTGTGTGTGTGAGGGAGTGTGTGGATGATGGTTAGCCATAGAGCGGCCGTGGGAACTTGACTACTTTGCTTTTTTATTCACAATTTTCTCTTCGTCATAATTTGACGTCACAAAGCATCATCATTTGAAGACTTAAGGTCCTTACACACTGGGGCCGACGCGAACATAGAACGTGAAATTACGAAATATTCGGAGGCGAATTTTGACACGCCTGACTATACACATCAAGCCCGATGCGATTTTGCGACTTTCCGAGGGGAAAAAGACACATCCCAGGGAAGATTTTTCCCGCCTCCTTCGCCTCTGATTGGCTAGAAAAGCTGGACACGTCATCACACGCTCGAGCCAAATGGTCAGCACTTGTAGCCAATCAGAGGCGAAGGAGGGCAGGACCTTCCCTTACCGTCCTACATCGTCCCGGGTGGAAGCAAGAAGACAAAAATGGAGTCTGCTTCAACTTCCAGTGATGGCGAATGGTACTCCTTTTGCTTTCTCAAAAGAAAAAGAAATGTAGTACATGGGTGCCTCCAATAGTTCAAAAAAGAAGAGAGCTTGGTGAATTTCACTGCTTGGTTCAGGAGCTGAAACTGTACCACGGACAATTTGAAGTTTTGCTGAGGGGGCAGAGGACTAGACACTAGTGCTGAGATGTCTGTCTGTCATGATAGCATGTACTGAGTCAGGGCCAGTACCAGATAAGCACATGAAACTATGGTAACAACCATTAGCTTACGTTAGCAGAGATGAAAGTTTAAACAAAGATGTTTAGCAAACCGTTAAAGCACACAAACCATCGTCATATGAGAGATCTGACGCTATGACTCCCCACAAGTTGTCCTTCAGGTCGTTATCTTTGTAATATTTGTCTTTTATCAAAAAGCACTCTGTTCTCTGACACGTAAACAATCAGCCGGTCGGCCAAGTTGGACATACCGGTGAACCAGATGTCGCAACAACACGAAATCTGATTGGTCAGAAGTGGACACACAGTATGCAAAACTTTAGAAAAATCGACTATGATCCGAAAAAATAAATGCCGCAATATCGCAGGACGGGAAAACGTTGTTGATGTGAACGCTTGTATTGACAGGATACGGGTTCGAAAAAAATATTGACGTCCGAAATAATCGCACGACAAAAACGGTCCCAGTGTGAAAGGACCTTTAATGCAAAGTTTAGGGTCTCTACCTCTGATTGACTTGACTTTAATGACTTGGATTTAGTTTGTTGGCAGTTTAACTAAGACGAACACAGTTTCTCACTATTTTTGGCTTTTTAGGCTTCATTCTGATCGGTCAGCTTGAGAGACCCAGGTACATACCTTATCAACAACTGTGAATCCTTTCAAAAATAACTGACTGTAACCCAAGAGCTGTTTTCAACCGTATCTGGTCCTGTCTGAGGTTTCTGCCTTAAAAGAGAATTTTACTTGCAGCTGTAAATAAGTGAATAAGTGTTTATTAAAGGAGGAAAAAAAAGGTTTTGCCCACTGTCATCCTGCTGGAGTGGAAAAGTCAAAAACTGAATGTCATTTCTCGGTCTGCCAGCGGCTGTCTGTCCCTGCTGTCCCCTGAGCTGAGGCCACCCTGAGGCCAGTGACAGTGGCATGGCGAGGATCAATACCACACACACACATATACATGCGCACATACGCACACTGACTGACACACACAAGCCGCCACCCTGAGCGAGGGATCGATGGGGAGATAGAGAGAGAGTCGGGGGGAAAAGAGGGTGTCCGCTGGTTTTATCGCTCTGGTTTCTCATCAGCACCTTCAACACTTTAAAGGGCTATTCCACAATTTTCTAGATTTTTATTACTAATCCTTACAAGAAACTTTATGTGAAATATTAATTGATCTGGCAACCCTTATAGCTCCCTAAGTTTGCCGTAATGTTGAGCCTGGTGGACACATCGTTGAGTTTAAAATGATAGCTGTGAAATTACACTCAGAAACACCAGAATTCAGGGTTCAAGCTTTTAATTAAGGATGTTTTGATTCACATAAAACTGATTTACCCTTCAAAATAAAACCCTGTTTCATGTGTGTGCAACCAAAACATGTGAAGTATAAAAAAACAAATATGAAAAGCTAGTTTTTCCTTTAAACTCCTTAGTTTTACACCTAAATAAAGCGCTTTGAGACACATTAAAGCTCCTGTCAGCAACTTTAAGTTAAAAAAGAGGTACTAGTTTGTTTTTACAGATTATTTTCTGAGCATATGTTCATATATTTTCATAGGTGAAATAAATCCTTTGCTGTTGAAAATTAGAAAAAATATGTTTATTAAGGATACTTGTCCCTCAGCTACCCTGTAGCAGCAGATCCAGACAATTAAAACCAACCTGTGGAAATAATCAGTCTTTAAGCTGCTAGTTTGATATATATTTAAGGTTATACAATCTTAAGTTTAGTCTTGTTCCGGGAGCTTTACATTTATTGTATTTACAATCACAATTCCAATTTAAAGCTTGGACATTCCTTTTGGAAATCATGGATAATATATTTTTTATAAAACAATCATGTTTTAAAGTTTTAACATGTTCTCTGCTCTATTTTCAAACAATAACACAGTTTTTATGAAAACCTGTTTTCATTAACATTTTATTAAGTATTACTCTTTTGGGGAGAAGCAGGGTTAAACAAATACAGATAAAAAGTTATTTTAAAAACTTTTTGGGGCTTTTTTGAAGCATTTTGTATCAAACATGATACAACAGTAGGAACACACACACACCCCAAAGACGACACGTTGAGTCAGTTCAGACACTTCAGTAGATTTGTATTGAAGCACTCTCATCAATTGATCAGTGACGGAGGAGTTAGCAATTGTCTCTAGTTAACAGAGCAGCCAAATCTATTCCTTCCTTACACACAAAAACACACACACCATCACCAACACACACACAGCCAGACACTGAATGTACACACACACACACACACACACACACACACACACACACACACACACACCTCCTCTATAATTCATGGGGTGTATTGTGCGGATGCAGTTAACTGCCGCTTAAAAGTAATTAATTGATTTTCTGACATATCAGTTAGCAGCAGCACAGAATGACACACACACACGCACACACACACACACACATGCAATTTGCAGACTTGCACAAGGACATACAGTCACACACAGAGGACACACACAGGTATTCATGCACAGTCACATTAAAACGTTGCATAGACAAACACACATACACACACACAGAAATGCAACCTAGCTGTAATTATACTGCTGCATCATGATGAAAACTGTCCTCCACACACACTTTTTAACAAAAAAAAACACACAAATTATGTTGTTTTACATAAAGTGCATTTTATTACTGCTAAAATCTTTACAAAACGTGTCATAGTCAAAATCCAGATATGTGATATATTTAGAAATAAATTTACATTTTCAGCAGAAATAAGGCATAAATGTTCTTAATTTTACTTTAAAACCTATTTTAATTTATGTGTTTACAATAATTAGCTATAAAATGTATAATTGGGCCTTTTGCAAACAGTCTAAATCAATCATTATGTGATTTTGTATAATATATGTTTAAAAATAGAGGAGTTATTCATTCAAAAGAATGCACTTAGAGTGGGTGTTAGGATATGTTTGTATATACTTGATAAAGTGTAATGTCAATTTTAAGTTGCCAAGTGTGTCTTCAAATGTGAGGTGGCTTCTTGAAAGATTGTTGCAATCCAATCTAATCTAAAACAAAAACGTATGCGGTGCTGCTCACAGAGTCCTTAATTACTTTACAGCTCAAACCGACGTTTCTTTACGATACTAGCCGCAACAGGGTGCTGCCGTAAAGCTATCAGCGGCAGATGGAGGAAGAAGTGAAAGGTTGTCGTTAAACAAAGACAAATACCAATCACATTAATGTTTAAACTAAAGGAGGAAAAAAGGAGGGAAAAGGAGGAAAAAGGAGGGAAAAGGGAGGGAAAAAACTACAACTACAAGAGACGGCTAAAAAGTGGTATTAAAACTGATCTTAGCGAGTTACAATGCAGCTTAGTTTGTTTTGTGTTGCATAGAAGTTTTATACAATTTTCAAACATTTATCACTGAAGCTGAGAGCCAAATGAAATTAAAAAAATAGCTTAACATTTTACCTATTTGGGTTTGTTTAAGGGATTCTCAAATGTGAACAAAATGACAATGAAAAAAACATTTACATATATGAAAGAGAGTTGAAATGTGACTTGAAATTATGAGACAGGAAATCATAACTGTCAGTGAGTCATAATTTTGATTAAAAAGTTAAAACTATGAGGCGAATCATCAAACACCTCATTACTTTACATTATTTAATGTGTCAGTTCACGTCGTGTCAGTTCATGTCGAGTAACCTCACATCACATCGCTGAACATCGCATCGATTCGGGTCACAGTTTTTAACTTTATGTTACATCACTTTACATCACCTTAATTTGCGTTATGCTAATTTATTTCATATTATTAAACATTACTTTCCTTTACGTTCCGTTACTTAACATTATGCTATTCTACATCCACCAATTTACGTCACAGCACTTTATGTAAGGTCACTTTATACTTAGACACTTTACATTGCTTTACCATACAGTAATTGACTTCACATTACTATAATTTATAGTATAGTATACTTAACATCATGTCACATCATTTTTGTCTCTTTTAACTTCATGTACTGTATCATCATGTCACGTCACGTAATGTTACATCTACATCATGTCATTTGACATCATGTCACCTGACGTGTCACTTACATGACACCATAGCAGTTTTGTAAAACACATCTCTTAGGTCAAATCACTTAATGTCTTATAGCTCTACTTAATGTTACTTTACATCACATCACATCATATCGCTATACCTTATTGCTGTCTCACAACAAGCGACTCCTCTTATAATTTTGACTTTTATCTCATTAATATGTCTCACAATTTCACAGTTCTCCATTTTTCAAATTTTGACATGTTAAGAAATTCTTTAAATTAAGGTCCACTCTTCGGAAAAGAATAATTGGATTACTAGCTGTTTCATTTTGTAACACAAACACTTATAGTGTTAAAAAGCCCCACTAATGCCACAATTCCACTATAAATGGTTAAAAACAATCTTAATTTGTAGAAGAAGAGTGTGTTTTCCCCCTTTTGTGTGTTTGTATGTGTTGAATTATTCAGCCGGCCTCTATGATGAGAGAGGATGGGCTTATTCTTGCTTAACTAAAAATTGATTTTCTGACACAAAAAATGAAGGACAGCGAGAAGGAGGGAGACCGAAACAGAGAGAGAGAGGGAGAGCGTAACTCCTCAATCATGCACACACTCAAAGTTCGTTTTAAATGTTCATCCTAAATGCGGATAAAACGGAGGAAGACAGAAAAAATGAGACACTGTCTCTGACGGAGAGACAGCACGACAAATAGAGAGAGAAAGATGGAGGAAGAGAAGAAGATAGAAGTGCCTCGGGCTGTGTTTAGTGCAGTTTGAATGGCTGAGCAGGTGCATTAGAGCAGAAACTTTTAGTTCACACACACACTGACTAAAAGGAGAAACACACACACACACACACACTTCAGGCCGGACTGTGAATACAGACGTCAAAACTGATCAGAAAGGTTTACTGTCCGATTCTGTCCACTCCGTGACTCTGTTAGAGCGCTGACAGATAATCGCACACAGCTTAAAGTGTTTTTCTAACACTTTTTAAAGTTTATATCCGACATTCATGACTAAAAAGTTCTCAAAAACTTCACCACGGGAACAGCAAATGAACAGTTTTGTTGCGCTGATGCTAAGGAGTGAATGATCTAAGGCGAGGTCTCCTCTCGATGAAGAGAGAAGCAGGAGTGGTGTGTGGACGGACAGATGAGTCAAGGCCTCGAGGGCGGGAAGAGAAGGATGAGAGAGAGATTGAGGAGGAGATTTCTAAGGAAACGAGGGATCGAGGGAAGGAGGACAACAGGACCAGGACAGATAGTGAGAATCTTCGGTTATCAGTCTGTTAAAGTGTTATAAACTTCTAGATACAGCGATAAAGTCATACGGGGGTGGAAATTAGAATTATTAAGACAAATAGACCAGGAATGTTGTACCAATGAGCAAATGAGGCTGTGTTTTCATAGGATTTGTCAATCGCAAGCGGGCTATCTATGGCAACAAGCGTTTTCTTACTTATTGTACTTAAATCCTTATTTAGGCTGTAATCAGGCAGAAAAAGTTGGCTTTTTTGACATTTCAATCCTTTGTCCTACTTTCTACTTCATGACATTTACTGTCTTTGGTTCTTTACGAAGAGTTTCCAACACCAATTTTTGACTGAATAATTCTAATTTCCACTCCCATATGACTTTATCGCTGTATCTAGAAGTTTATAACACTTTAACAGACTGAAAGATTTAACTCAATACTTTTCAACTTTTGGAAGACACAAGTTACTCAGTTCAAGAGGTCTTACAGTTTGTCCATTACAGCTGCTTACTGTACATACACACACCTCAATCTGCTGTCATTATAGACCGCCACAAAAATCAATGAGTGTTTCCATGGCTCAGATCACTTCTGACAGTTATAGAAGGACACTTCCAATCAAGTAATTAGCCATTCACACCCCTCAGGCTTTGGTTACTTTGTGCTTTTTGCAGCATCTGTGTGCGTGCACGTGTCGATGTGTGCGTGCACGTTTGCATGCTAAGTAACCCAGAAGATTCTGGAAAACACAAGCGGGTCATCAAAGTGGAAGGTACCATCAGGATCAGCCAATCAGACACGCTTAAACCCGACCACACGGGGACGCAAGGAGCCCCAAATGAGTCGATGAATAAATCAGAAGGCTTAGGCGCTGGGCGGATTTACAATACAGAATAGCAGGGCGCTAATGGGTGTGGGCGACACACACACACTCATAAAGACAACTCTTTGCATTTAGTTGTTAACCACAATGTGGGGACAAATGGGGATGGAGGGAAGGAAATGGGGGTGAGTAAAGGGTGAGGCGACTCATTGCATGACTTCTTCGTTAACCACAGCACCAAAGGGACTTTGCCTCGCCTCGCATAGGACACCTGTCCCACTAGACTGCACAGACATGCACCCGCCGCCGTCTCGCCCATTAAGGGTGAGGGGAACCAGTGCGGTCTAGGAAGAAAATGGGACGGGGACGCTGAAAAGCCGCAGAAGATCGGAGGCGCCATCGATCGTCAGATGGCTGTTCGCTGTTGGCGGTTTCACGAAACTTCGGGGGAGGTTAGAGTCAGCGGGGAAGTGTACCGAAACAAGCAAGGCAGCTGGAAATAGATTTTCTATTTTTTAAACCAGAACACACATTTCCAAAAACGTATTTTTGTAGCCGAATATTTACCACCAGATTTAACAGAAAGTTCAAGAAAACAAAGTGAAAGTTTACTCCTTCTCTTAACCGAACTGTAAACCAAAACACAACCACTAACCTCCTGCTTCAGTTACACACACACACACACTTACAGAGGGTTGAGCTTTGACCAAAGTTGATGAAGTGCTTGGATTGGGTTCATGCTGTGGTACGGTTCAGGTCTACCATCAATCTTGGTCTGTGGCCTAGCTCGTGGTCCCCTTTTACTCATATGATAATCCAAACAGTTTTTTATATAATCAAGAGCTAAGGGTACATCAGTACACTTCGCTTTGATTTACGTCATGATGCACTACTTATTTCACCGCACTACATATGTCACTATGTGTAACGTGGCTAAACATAATGTTGCTTTACATCACTTTATGTCACTTCTCTTTGCTTTAAATCACCTCATCTTATCATTCACCATCATGTAAGATATCTCCACATAACTTCACATCACATCACGTCATGCCACACAATTTACGTCATGTATCTTTAGTCAGATCACTTTTTATCACAGCACTTCACATCCTGTTTTTTACACCACGTCACTTTACAAGTCACTGCTTACGTATCTCCTTTTGAACTCTATGATGTTGAATCCCCCTGAATCTAATCTGATTTAAAAATGAACCTCAACTCATGAAACTTTTTTTCTCAAAGATATATCTGCTTGTGTGAAACTATCCAGATCGGGGTCTGATATCAAAAGACAGAGAGGCGATTAAGTGGGCGGAGAGAGGGAAGTGAGCGAGGAGAGCAGAGAGGGAGGAGAGATGAAAAGGAGGAGAGGAAATGAAGGGATCTTTATTGGAGCTCCATCTTCCTGCCGCAGCTGATGGAGAAGGACAGGAGGAGGGATACGCTGTAAAAAATGACATGAAGACTGAACCCAGAGGGAATCTAGTCTAAAATCTGACATTTTGATCCACTTTTAAGGAACAACACAAAGTCCAATATTCGTCCACACTACACTACGGAAAACACAAGTACATTTAATCCAGTTTTAATTGCACCGTTTTAGTCCTTTTACCCTAAAACTGCCTATTATTTGACAAAAAAGACATGAGACACACTTAAAGAAGTGCATATCCATGATAAAACGACCATCTGAGCGCTGCCATTTCTTACAGTGGAAGGTACCGAGATCAAACAGCACAGCCCCGCCGTGTGATGTGTGGCCAGATCGCCACATGGGAGCCACTGTGTATGTGCGTAGGTGTGTGTTCTGCTGGTGCGAACATGTGTGTGAGCGCAGAGTGTAAGAGAAAAAGACGAACATTCACAGGATGGATCCATAGATGTATTCTGTGCTTATTCCCAAGCTTCAAAATAAGAGCCTGAGATCACAGCTGGATAATTGAGATCACAGCTGGATAATTGACCCACAACAGAGAGAGAGAGAGAGAGAGGGAGAGGGAGAGAGGGATTCAACAATAAAAAGCAAAAAGACCCTTTACTTAATCCTCAATCCTTGTGGGTCTCTTTATGGTTGTGTGTCATCATAAAGTGTGTGACTAACATTCGTAAGTGTGTGTTATATTTGCTTTAATGTCTAGTCCTCTAGAGCGCTGAGTCATAATGATTTTTGCAGACTCACAGAGACAGAGATATAAAACTCGGCTCAGTGACACACACACACACACACACGTTTATGTGTAACGCAGGAAAGTTGGCGCTGTCCATTTTCAGATCCAGTATCTGACGGTATTTTCCCCCTTTCCCCTCAGTCATTATTGGAATTCCCCTCCAAGGAAAGCATGAAATCATAAACTGCTGATGCTGGGAATATTCAGTGTCCCCAGAGGAAACCTCCGCACTCTTTTCCAAACATCATATTACGATTTCAAAATTCTTTTTACACAATCACCAACATCTAATGGATCAGTTTTTTGGAGATGGTGGATGCTTCCTGCTCTACATTCCTGCTCCCTTGAGGATGAACCCTCTGTTAAAAAACCTCAACCTTTATTGAGACCCACAGGATGAATAATCAGCCGAGAAGACTTAAACACAAACAGGCAGATAACTGAATCTTTATGTGTGCATGTTCATGGTCCCATGAGGATTAACTCTCTCTTTTTTTAAACCTTAAGGTCCTTACACACCGGGGCCGACACGAATATAGAACGTGATTATCACACGCTCAAGCCAAGCAGTCAGCACTTACAGCCAATCAGAGGCAATAAGATAAGCACATGAAACTATGGTAACAACCGTTAGCTAACATTAGCACAGATGAAAGTTAAAACAAAGGTGTTTAGCAAACTGTTAAAGCACACAAAACATCGTCTTATGAGAAATCCGACGCTATGACTCTCCACAAGCTGTCCTTCAGGTCGTTATCTTTGTAGTGTGTGTGTAAACGATCATAAACAATCAGCCGGTCGGCCATGTTGGATATACTGATGAATCTGACGTCGCAACAACATGCTATCTGATTGGTCAGAAGTGGACGCACCGTATGTGAAACTTTGGAAAAATCGACCATGATCCGAAAAAATAAATGCTGCAATATTGCAGGACAGGAAAACGTCGCTGATGTGAACGCTAGTATTGACAGGATACGGGTTCGAAAAAAAATATTGATATCCGAAATAATCGCACGACAAAAACGGTCCCAGTGTGAAAGGACCTTTAAAGTCTTTCATTTTAAAGAAACCTTCGGGATAAATGTTGAGACAAGAGGACTTTAAAACTATTTGGATGATCACGGAGATCGAAGTCTCCAGAAGATGAACCCTTGAGTTTGTTGACACTATCATACCAGAGGACTGAAAAAACAAACAGGCAGATATTAGACATGTTCACGGCTCCAGGGTGATACACCCGCTCTCCTCTAACAACTATAGAGTTATGACTTTATTGACACCCTGGCGATAAATGATTGTGTATTAAGACTTTGAAACCAACAGGCAGATCACTAAGAGCTGTTGGTTGCATTTTCATGGTTCCCATAGGATAAACCCTCTGTTTTAAAACCTTAAAGTCTTCCTTTTATTGGCTCCCACAGAATAGATGATCAGAAAAGAGACAGTAAAGCAAACCAGAATCTTTAAGTCGGGTACAAATTTGACTTTTAATTTATCTAATTCTAGACTTCTATTTCCCGTCTGTCAATTAATGAAGGCTGAGTTTAAAGAAAGGTGCAGAATTTGCTCAAATTCACCGTCCAAACAGCTGTTTGAACTAATAACAGGATCCATCAGCTCTGCTCTGCTCTTTGAACACAGTGACTGGTTTAGAGACACAGTGGTGCTCACAGTAAACCGAGGAGAGGAAGAGGAGGAGGAGGAGGAGGAGGAGGACTTTCTGGTAAAACAACTCAACTAATTTCTCAAAAGTCCTCCCATGCTCTCTTTCAATCTCCTTCTCACCCACTTCCCAACATTTCGAACTCTTTGAAAGCTGGGTAAAATTATAGCAGCTGATCAAAACAGAGAAAAGGTGAAATTTTTCTTCCATAGAGGGTAAAAAAGTTGAAAAAAAAAAGAAAAACTTCTCGTCTTTTTCATGCAATATTGAGGCAAACACACATACTGTAGAGCTGAAGTCCAGTCAGGTCTCTCCTGTGGTTATTTATTGCAAAACTCTGCTTGGTTTGTGGCTTTGGTTATTATATGTGTATGAAACAGGCAGTGAGTTTGTGTGTGTGTGTGTGTGTGTGTGTGTTTGTGTGTGTATGTGAGTATGGGAGTATGTGTGTGTGTGGTTTACCAGCACGCCTAACCAATATACAGTTCTCTCTATGCAAACTGCTGCACACAGATCTTGTATCTCTGCGTTTATTTACATGTCTGCATGCAAACCTCCACAAAGGCAAATATTTGCATTGAAGCTCTGCAGCATCAGGTCACATAACAAGCTCCAAACAGTGCAGAATAACATCCGTGCACTTTTTCAGTTTCGATCCCTGCATGTTGAAAAAAATACGCACTTATTATTTTCCTCTCGTGAGTTTAAGAGCAGCAGTATATTGAAATTTTGTTGATGTGTGTGTTTGTTGTTGAACGCGAGGCCTTGTCTCTGTAACGGTCTTTCTGTCACACACATCCTCCCTGCTTCCTTCTTCCCTTACTATCTCCTCTGACTGTTACAACTCACACTCACACATACACACACTCACACTTACACACACACACACACACGCAAGGCAAACAGACATTTTGAAACAGAGGAGCAGTTTCTGTTTGTCGAATAAGATAGTGTAAACTGCCGTTTGTGCTCTTAAAAGGATGTTTCATTCAGCTTATTCTGCCAGATTGCGTTCTTATACCACAGAAACATTGGTCTATAAATATGAACATTTCACTGACTTCATTTTTCTACTTTCTCACACTTTTATTGATTAAATTCACACCCTCACATGGTGGTGTGTCTGGGAAAAAGATATTTTTTTGTTTCATCAACCGTATCAGTTTCTCACGATCTACAACAACACCCAGCAGCAACAAATGCACAAACTGTCCCAAAATTGTGCATCTTTTGTGCCTCTTTTTCCTGGATACCTGGGTGACCGGTCCCGTCCCCTCTGGTATATGATTGGTAGGCTAGAGCAGCACCTCGGGCGTCTCGCAGAACTGAAAATGCATGTGCGGTTCAGAGATGAGCAATCAGTCTCATTAACTATCATTAGGTATCAGTTTCAGCCCTTGAAAACCAGAATCAGTCAATGTCAAATCAAAAGTCCTGACGTTTTCTGATTTTATCCGATGAGAAGATCTGCTTTTTTGCATTCACTTTCTGCTAATTCAGCTGTTTCTGAGCTTAAATGACTTGTTAATAGACTTAATAAAACAAGTCTGTAAATGTTGCAGCCACATTATGGAGGCACCCTGGATTATGTGCATTAATCTGCAGTGTGAGCGAACACAGTTAAGTCCTGTATGAGGCTTATATTGGCCTGTAGGTGACCCCCTGACCGCCAGCTTCTCGTCCACTACAGAGAGCCCAAGTGTTTTTTGACACTGTGATAAGTTATGAATGTGAGAACGCTCATATATTAACTGCTGTGTGAGAAAACTAAAGTGCTCCGGGAACATGTGCATGTCTAAACCTGGCCGCGCTCCCTCAGTCAGCATCACATCTCTTAAAATCAGCCTGAAGCAGACCTGTGCAGTTTCCTCTGTTACGCTTTGCCGCCTCCTGATAACACACTCTCTCTCTGTGAGACGCTCACACGGGCAGACACTCAAACACAGCAGGTGGAGCCTTCAGATAACCAGAATCAGCTCAGGACAGGCGAGTGTGATGCAGACGAGAACTGCAAAACAATGCGGACGAATGCAAAGTGGCCGATGGAGCCCTGGAACACGATGGGTTCAGGCGTGAAGAGAGAGGCGTAAATTCAAGAAAAGAATGACAGAAAGTAGAAAAACAAGCTTCAGAGGAGTTTGATATATGAACCGCGGGAAAGGAGCTATACACTGTCGACTAACAGATGATGGAGGTGTTAAAAAACAAGTTTAAGTGGCTCTTAGTTTGGACAAATGTGAGATATATGGAGTGGGAAAAAAGGGATGGAGAGGAAACTCTTAATGAAAAGAAAGTTTAAAGTATAATGATAATAATGCTGTTAATTACGTAAAAATGAAGAGTAGAGATTGCGCTTTAAGTCGCAAAGTTTCACCAACCAAAAAAAAACACATTTTAATTTCTATATTAATTAGAAAATTGGGTCTGTTTTGTACAGGCTGCAGAAAAAAGCTTCCCCTTTACCTCCAGGGTAATCTGATCTGCACAGAGATTTATCCTCAGTAGTAAACACGCTCACTCAAAGCTTTGATTATCAATCCTAAACAATCAATCCAAGAGCAGCAGATTCAGGCCAAGCCTTTGCATCATTCCTTTCGGTTTTCACAGACTTTTGAAGACTTTATTTGACATATCTTTTAAACTCGGGGGGTAGGAAAGAGTTTAAATCTAATCTTGATGAACTACATAAAAAAATATGAATGCCTACTTATGATATCCATAAACAAACAAGATCTTCAGCATCATAATTGATCGTTTTTGTATCACGTTATTAATGCATGACATTTCGAAATTCATTATTTGTGGGGAAAAAAAAGGCTTATCTGATTTTTAGACTTAAATCCTTTATTTTATTTGCTTTTATTTGCACTCCTGATGTTTTCCCTGAACACAAATCTTCACCTTCACTTCCTGCATTCATCCTCAGAGCTGTTTACACAGATTAGCTGAAACAAACAGTTAAGAGTCATGAGTTGCTCTCTTATCCCAGGCGGAACCAATCCTGATAAACTGAGGCTCAGATTAGTACAAGCAGATAATCTTAACAACTAGTCTGAACTGCCCACACTCCTGCAGCTGATAAAGTGTTTGTGTCTGGTACATTTGGTCCAAAACTCGAGACACACCAACACATGCATGTATGTACATATCCACGTGTTTATATGCATGTGAAGATAAAGCAGCCATGTAGATTTTTATGTTATAGAAGTTATGATTGGAGGAGAGTAAAGTGATGACATAACTGCTTGTTAACGACCAATAGGAGTGCAGGAGATCAACCACTGATTGGTTAACCACATGTGATGCGATCAGCTTATTTTGGTTAAAAGAAAAACTCCATGCTGCGGTTTAATCGATGAATTTACGGTGAAAAGAAACTGGTTTTCCAACATAGAGAACCTGATTCATTCTGTTAGTTTCAAGCGGGCCTGAGGTTTGAACACAAAACCACCAAAATCTGTCACTGCAACTGTGGTTATACTGGGCAGATCCCAGCGACTGACAGCAGCCTCTTGCATGCAAACATCCTGTGTCAAACTGTTGAAGACGCATGCAGTCGCTCTCGGCGTCGAAGTCATGCAACCACACATGCACAGGCGGGAAACACGTGGCCTCGTCTCTTTTTGAGCATCAGCAGTTACAGCGTGGCAGAAGAAGATAGGCCTACGGTGACACAGAAACCTGTTTGTGTCACACGTTTCTGTGTCCTCGAGACTTCACCCAACCTGTAACGGAGTTTTAGCCCAGATGGGCGCTGGCGTTTATTTCTGTGCAGCCTGAGCTCACACGAATGCTGATGGTGATGTAAGAGCACGGCGCTACCTAGATTTGACAGGAAACACACACTTTTAACGCACAGGGTGTTCTTGAGAATTTCCACAGCAGAGACAACCACCGCAATGTCGGGTTTCCGGCACAAAGTAAAGAGGGCTTAAAGAGAAGTTTACAGTGAAGAGCTGTAAGAGTTTGTTTCTTAGCTAACAACAGAAAAGCAACACTTAAAGCTCCTGTGAAGAATTTTCAACCATTTATAGAAGTGATCACGACACTGCTTCATCATGTTCGAAAGCAGCTATTTCATTAGCCTACTTTCAGTGTCAGTCACCACAAACAGAAGAAATGAGTCGATGCACACTGCTACTGTTACAGAGCAACACAAACCATAAAACTCCTCACAAAAGCTTTAAGTTATGGATTACTGTCCATTTTACGAGTTTGTCAGCATCAACATAAAAGCTTAACATGCCAAACATGTCTGTTAAGCTCAGATCTTAAATGCTCTGCTGTGGACATTTTTGGTAACAGGGGCGTCACTAGATGGGTGACAAGGAGTGGCATGGCCCCCCTTGAAATCCTTATTGATGATGGGCTGTTCGCCTTATCAGAGCTTTGAGATCAACTATTTCAGCTGACTGTGTGAACTAAGATGCCATCTGTGCTTGTTTGTATGCGGGTGGTTGAGCATCAAAGCGATGTGAGAGTCACCGTTAAGCAGATTTATAGCCATGCCTTTATTACAGCTTTGACTCAAGATATGATCAGCAGTCCAGGCGTACAATAACAAAAACACCAATGACGAGCAAAGGTGGAAAGATTCAATCTTTTAGGACCAAAAACCCAACAAAATATGCTCTCTTTGGCAAAAAAACAGGGTCCAAGTCATGATGGATACAATACAAACCACTAAAAAGCTCCCCTTAAGAGGGGTCAACGTGTGTCTAACAGGAGTCAGTGAGGGCAAACTTCCAAAACAGCCAATTTATGTGTATCATTACCTAAAGTAGTCAAACATATTGAGAGTCGGTTTTGGGAAAAAGAGGCAGACATGTCCAGTCATCCTCACAGCTGCTGGTTGATGCAGCAGGAAGGAATGCATGTTACATTCCTCACTCTCCTCCCTCCTGTCGTCCTCCATGTGAGCAGGGAGGATGCAGTCTCACAGGAGAGGCTCTGACAAAGAAGTCTAAGATTATCTCTAATGCTGAAAAGACTCAAATTCAGCTACATGGATGTTACGCAAGGTGATCAGAGGCAGCTAAGAAATGGATGAGGTTAACCAGTCATGGGAAAGACGTCCTACTATGACTGAAATAAGACTGTGCTTAAAGAAGACGTGTCACAAAGATCTAAAATCTGTTAGCCAACCCGACAAAGACCACGGTAGCCCCTCAAAGACGTCCACTCACCTCGTTTGAAAACCGACTGATAGGACGACTGCGACTCAAAGATGCTGTTGGATGCCATCAAGTTCTCGTCCTTCTGTTGGCTTCTTCTCCTCCTCTCCTCTCTTCTTTCTTTTTTAAAATCTGTGCAAACACAACAAAAGGTCAACAAGAGACCATTCTACAAGCTGAACATCAACATTCACGGCCAATCTCCAGACCACAAACCACATCTTTCCATGTGTGTGTGTGTACAGGAATGCATATAATGTATAATGTGCATGCCACTGATTCTCACCAGTAATAAAACCCATCATTTAGGACCCATAGCTTTAGATTCATAGTAACCTGAGGTAGATCTCACTTTGAGTTACTTTCAAACTGAACATTTTTGGTTGTTTGGCTGTAATTTTCTGATACATAAATCGATGATTTTGATAAATATTGGTGGCAGTAATCAGATTTTTCAGCATTTATTCTTCACTTAGCTTTGATGGTTGTGTCGCCATGTCACTAATCAGATATGTAGTTCTGATATTGAACTTTCACTGCTGGATCATTTCCCAAAACTAAATCCTCTAACCCATTATAGTGTCAACTTTTAAACTAGAGAGCAGAATTCACAAAGCTATTTCAACATCTTAACTCTGAGTTTTTTCTCCTTTTTTGACATGATTACATGTGTTCCCACTGTAGCCTCATACCATGAATCAACCATGCTGAACTGTGCTGTGGTTTTCTGCTTTGTAGACCGTGACGTCAGCTCAGCCCACTGAAGACGTCGCTTCTCAAAGTGTCTGTCTTAACTCATGTGTGGAGAGAAAAGGTGCTTTATGACTTAATTGCATCTCTGCGGGTTGGTGTAAAGATTTAATCTCAAACTTCCTTGAGTCACTTCCTATTCAAAATTTGCAGTCTTTGTTTGGCACGTAGCATGCTAGGATCCAGTTGTGTTCTCTACACATAGACGGCATCTAGGCTCCTTATCTGGCATTAATGAATCAGATAATTTCCTGTGATGTTCTGCCCTTGCAATCTAGCTGGTCAGGACAAGATAGTCATCATAGAGTTCAACTGAGAGTGAGGCGCCCATGTTTGTTGCTCTAAGATGCTCCTGTTACCTCAGCCATGTTTGTTTTGCTGCTGAAGCTGTACCTGTGCACGAATCAGACACTAGGATCAGGGGTATATATGCCACAGTGTGCTGTTTTCTTCCAGGGTTCTCCAGGTCGAGAATTATGGCTTTTAAAGACTGGAATGAGGCCCTAGCCTGCGGGGTTCCACGGGGTTCAGTTCTGGGTCCTGCTATTTTTCCCATTTACACTCTAATTTGCTCATTATTTATGTTATTTCATTCTGTGGAAATCGCTTGGTTTGTCATTCTTCAATCAAAAACCTAAAAAAAAGTTTGCATATTGTCTCCTACAGTGATCCCCTCGTGTCCACCATGGGGAAACATCCTGACCTTAAAACTCCACCTTTGCTTTCACTAATATGTTGAAAAATTGAAGGAAACCTCACAAAACTCTGCTGTATTTTTACTCTTTTATGCAAAAGATAAGAGTTTGTACATTTCGTTTTCAGTTTCACTTGCTCAGTCTTGCAGAAATCTGAACGCCGTGAGCCTTCAGGTCAAAGTTTTTGTGGGAAATCTCAAGAAGTGACGTAACTGATGTAGATTGTGCTGATTTCTCTGCTAAAAACAGCTCAAACTATTTATTTTTTTTTAATTGTGAGCAATGATCAGGATGATATGTAAACAAGATTATGCATCGGCTTCGCTATGGTCTCATTTGTTTATAGTGAGCTCACCAGGGAATCAAACTGCCGGGGGAATCAATCTAATACTGCTGCCCTTTTTTATGCAAATATTTGTTAACAAAGCAAGAAAGTTGATCTTCTCTGTATCAAACTTTGTTGTACACACGTGTTCAATTCGCCAAAAGAAGCATCAGCAGTGAATAAAGTTGCAAAGGCTGAATTTGAGGTCGTCTTACCCCGGATGAGGTGTCCCACTCCTGGACAGAAGTCTTGAAAGAAGCTCCTTGTGGTTTCTCCAGCTGACTCAGATGCACAACAGTCTACAAAACTCCCCCATTTTCTACCTTTCTCAGCGTGTGATATCTTTTCACTTGCTTACAGCTCTCCCCTGCTTCCGCACTTCTGCCTCTCTGCCGCCATGCACATCTTCCTTTATCTCTGAACGCGCTTTATGACTCTCTCTGGTTTTTGGTGTGTGGTTTAAATCCCCCTGATGATGACTTTTTTGTCGTCAGATTTGACTGTCTCCTCAGTGTTCAGTGAGATCTGTCGAAATCAAAAGCCACCTAGTTTGGTTTCTATTAATCTGGCATTGTGGCTTCTGAGTATGCATGCATGAGTGTGTGTTTGTGTGTGTGTGTGTGATTGTGTGTGTGTGTCGTCAAGCTAACCACCTGCCCCCCTCAGCCAACAGTTTTCGTCGAGGAAGTAGCTGTGGTTAGGGCAAGCGAAACAGAGGGAGAGGGCGTTGTGGTGTGTGTTTTTGGAGTGCCCATATGTGCGTTTGTGGTTTGGTTGTGTGTGTTTGTTTTAGGGTTTTGAGAGGGTGAGTGAGTCACCTCTCTTTCACTGCAGGTCAGACCGTTAGACCACTGTGTGACCACCAGTGTGTGCGTGTGTGTGTTTATGAATGGGAGGATAAGGTTGGTTAAGGAGAATTCTCTTTGTCTGGGTGACATTTCAGACGTAGAGTTGATTATTAGCTCCTCTTTTAACATAATTTAAGAGTTGAATTTACTGTACTTGAGTAAAAGTCCAGGGTGAAGCCAATAAAGCCATCAAGGGTCATCTGTATCTGAACACTCATCATAAAGGCAGAGTATTAGCCTGAAAAAAGGTTACTTGCATAATTTTCGTTGTTAACTTGCGTTTTTAAAGTTAAACTGTTTTCATTTTGCAATAGTTATTTAATAGTTTGAACTCATCATAATAATGTGACTTTATGTCTCTTTTCATTAGGTTACTAACTAGCTCTGAACATGAAGATTTCAGCATGCTGTTAAACACTGGATAACTTTTTTTCATTAACAGGATTTGATCGAAAGTTTGGGCGACCAGCGGATGAGAAGGACGACCGTCCAGCAGCAGCAGCAGCAGCAGCAGCAAGAACAGCGGGAGTTCAACCTGGAGAGAGTCAAAGGTACTGCGTTTTGGTTTATGACCTCTTTAGTGTGGGTTCAACTTGCTTTAACGTTGACGAGGTGCATATTTCTGGTACATCTTGGGTAAGTATTCTCCACGGTTGACACAAGTGTGTGTGTGTGTGCAATCTAATATCAGACACCTGCTGCTTAAGTGTGTGTAATTAGCCTTTTGGGGTGTGGGGTTGATGGAGTGCAAACACACACAGGCCCACCGGCCTCGACCCCTCAAATCCACACCTCTCCACACCCCGACACCTGCACTGACACACTTCTGCCCCTCCTCAACTCCACCTCTGCAACCACAAAACACATTCAATGCCAGGACAGCTGCCACCTCTAAAAAGCTAAATATGATCAAATTACAGACAGCTTACATAATGATTACTCAGGTTAATACAATAAGAAATAAAATCAAAACCCTTTCCAGGTACCCTTTGAAGTTTTTCTGCTGGATCAGGTGTCCTGAAGTAAATTCTGACCGAGATCTTTCAGGACAGAGGCTAGAGGAGGACTGGTTTGGGAATCAGGCCACTTGATGTCGTACTGTATGTCCTGGGAGAGCTCAGTGGGAGGGTGTTCAGCCGCCGACCTCTGACCCAGCTCTCAGACATAACATGACCTCCAGCTGCAGCTTCCTGGGTCACACACCGGGGTCAGACACCGACGCAGGGGGCTGAATAAACCGGCAGCTATGAGGAAGAAAAAAACCATTGGCTAGAGCGGAAGAGAGGAAGAACAAGAATCCAACTCTATTCTGTTCTAATCTAATCTATTCTATTGTGTCCTATTCTATTCCAATCTATTCTGTCCTAATCTATTCTGTTCTGTTCAATTCTATTCAATTCTGTCCTATTCTACTTCATTCTGCTTTGTTCTGTTCTGTTCTATTTTATTCTATTCTATTCGATCCTGTTCTACTCTATCCTTTTCTATTCTACTCTATTTTACTTTTTTCTACTACATTCCTTTCTGTTCTATTCTGTTTTATTGTATTCTGTTCTGCTCTATTCAGTTCTATTCTAGCCTAAAGGTCCTTTCACACTCAGAGCGTTTTTTTCGTGCGATTATTTTGGACGTCAATATTTTTTTTTCGAACCCGTATCCTGTCAATACAAGCGTTCACATCAGCGACGTTTTCCCATCCTGCGATATTGCGGCATTTATTTTTTCAGATCACGGTCGATTTTTCTAAAGTTTTGCATACTGTGTGTCCACTTCTGACCAATCAGATTTCGTGTTGTTGCGACGTCAGTTTCACCAGTATATCCAACGTGGCCGACTGGCTAATCATTTATGTGTTGGAGAACAGAGTGCTTTATGATAAAAAACACAAACATTACAAAGATAACGACCTGAAGGACAACTTGTAAAGAGTTATAGTGTCGGATTTCTCATATGATGATGGTTTGTGTGCTTTAACAGTTTGCTATACGTCTTTGTTTGAACTTTCATCTGTGCTAAGTAACTTTAGCTTGTAAGCTAACCTGTTCAGATACAACATACCATATGTATTTTCTGTCACAGCACCATTAGGTCTCGGTTGTTACCTTACATTTATGGATTATAGTTTAATGTGCTTATCTGGTACTGGCCCCGACTCAGTACATGCTATCATGACAGACAGTCATCTCAACACTAGAGTCTAATCAGAACTGAAAAACTGTTAGTCTGCTGTTGTATCAGTCTTCTCACTTCCACCTGGGATGGGTCTTCCATAATCGCATTGTGCTTGATGTGTATCGTCAGGCGCGTCAAAATTCGCCTCTGAATATTATGTAATTTCACGTTCTAAATATTAGCGTCGGCCCCGGTGTGTAAAGACCTTCAGCCTTGTTGTTTTATTCGAACTGCTTAAAAACTTCGAGGGTTGTGAAATGCTGCCAGTGCCTTAAGTAGACAAGCCTGCACTCCCTGAAATGGCGACTAGAGGCTGATTTTAGTAGTTAGTCAAACTCTCTTGGTTCATTCAAAAAACATTTACAGTCTGGACTGGTGGACGATTTTTTGAACATGCGTGTGTGTTTTGGGGAAGCGGTGACTTAAGTTAAGCCTTTGAAGTTACATTTAGGTCAAAAGTTTGTCCACAGAGTAAAGGTCTGGACCCCTTTGAGTGACAGGTGCTTGTGCTAAGTGGACGCTGCTATCTGTTTACAGCGTATCTTGCATTTATCTCCTGCTCTCACAAACATCTGTCCTCCCTCCATCCATCCTCCTTTTATCCAAAAGTCCCTCCAATCCCAGTTTTCCTTCTTCTTTCCTTTCATCCCAAGTCCTCTCTTCTTCCCCCTCCACACCCCCAACCGAGCTCCCACGACATCAAACCCCATCATGTCTGGACCCCGCTCACATGTGTGTGTGGGCACGTCAATGTGTGTGTTCTAACCAGCTGCTAAAATACAACAGTTGAAGTTGCTTTTGAACAATCAACAAACAAAGAGGAATAAATAAACTGCGAATGCAGAGCTTCAGTCTGGATGTGGTCCAGTATTGGATATTTTAGGCTTGGAGTGCACACAGAGGATTTCATCCTGATAATAACCAAATAAAGAGATCGTTTGCTCGGATGGTTTTGCATGTGCTTTGACTTTATTAGTGGACATTGAAATTGTTGCTGTTGCTAGGCTCGTGTTTCACTCTGGAGTAAAAACAAAGCTTTAAATCATTTATGGATGAAGTTTTGCATCAACTGCAGCCAGATGGAAAAACAGGGGGATTCCTGAAAGTCTCCCCAGAGTTAGCTCCGCCTACTGGACCTGCTGCTGCTGGCCTGAAGGCTTTAACCCCAACAGTAAAGGATTAGACATACCATGTATATCAACACATTTCCATATTTTAAGTAGATTCATACTGAATCAAATGTTATCATATGTCACCATGGAGATGCTGTGATGAATGCCGATGACACCAGAAAGGATGAAGTAAGAGCTAGGGGAGGTGAGGAGAGGTGATGGGAAAAGTTTAAAATGAAGGAGGACAGTGAAGGTGGAGGAGGGCAAACTTCTCCGGCTGTCTGCTCAGTGTGAGAAACTACTGGAAGCTCAGTTAGTCATCTTCTTCCCACATGCACACACACACACACACACACACACACACACACACACACACACACACACACACACACACACAGCACATGCACACAACACAGCAGCTGTCCTCTGACACCCTCGTATACTGAGGTGAACTTTGACAGTTTGAACTCTGTCAGCTTTGTACTCTAAACACTACACTACACTGTGGTTTTTATGTTTTATTACTGTGAGAAATAACGCTGAGCTAGTGTCACAGCATCATTTATTATGTGTGTCTTATAAAAATACTATATATTGTTATTATAGGCAGCAGTAGTGTTAAAGGGATATTCCTGCGTAAAATTAATTTAGGGTCAAACACACCGTAACACCGAGTTAGACACCCCCTCGAGAGATGAATGTTGCGACCGTTCGCTTCTCTAGTTATACCAACTTTTGTAACGACCGCACGATAGCAATACACAGAGCCACGCGCTCAACCAAAACACCACTCTATAGCCACAGATAATGCTCAGAACAGCACCTAACTTCATCAACAGTACATAAAGGGTCCTAGCCACAGCACTAGACACCAAACATCTTTTTAGCTTTGCCTGATTTCTTTAGCAAAGAGACTAAACATAACTCACCTACTCTCTTCCAGCAGCTGCTTGTTTGTACGGAGACCTCGGGCCAGTCCATTTTGGACTGCTGTGGGGTGACGCAGCTCAAGGAAGAAGACATGGTAGTCCTTCTGCCTTAGCATCTCGTCCTGATTGCATTTCCATGAACAAATGATCATAAATGTTCTTCCTTGAGCTGCGTCACCCCGCTGCAGTCGATGGACTCGCCTGAAGTCTGTATTGCTATCATGAAGTCGTTACTAAAGTTGGTATAACCAGAGAAGCAAGCGGTCGGCAACATTCATCTCTTGAGGGGGTGTCTAACTCTGTTTTACTGTGTTTGACCCTTACTTAATTTTACGCCGGAATATCCCTTTAATGTAGTGCAGAAACCCACCGCTTACTAAGGCTGTAGCTCCGGTTAAAAGCTCCTCCTGTAATGATGTACGACCCAGATGTAAACAAGCACAGATGCTGAAATCTGAGGACCTGAGTCTACGCTGTGGTCCTTTTAGCGGATCAGGAATTATAGATTTATGCTTCTGCTGCTTCCATTTTGAATCTTTTGAGTGCCAGACGCAAAAAGACATAACAGGAAGTTGATGTGAAATAATAAATTAGCTAAATTTTGGTCCTTTTCCAGCTAAAGGGCTATTCAGTGTATTTTCACTTGCAAATAACTTCCCAGTTCGAGTGTCTTCAGCAGTTGCAGTCACTTTACATAAACACTAGTGTTCCCAAATCCTCATTTAATCCTCCTCAGTTATGTGCAAAAACTTTATCTTTTAACTCCGTCTCCTTTCTCCTCACTCTCTCTTGCGGCGCGTTGGAGTCCAAACTGTTGTGTTTAGGAGTGTGTGTGTGTCTAAACGTGTTAAGTGGGGCTAAACAGATCTGTCTGTAACGGCACAGGGGGTCAGATCATTTACAGACACACACACACACACACACACACACACACACACACACACACACACACACACACACACACGCGCGCGCGCTAAATGATCAGGCATGACATCATCAGAGCTTAGTGGAGCAGAGGAATTAAAACCCAGTCAGTGTGTGTGTGTGTGTGTGTGTGTGTGTGTGTGTAACAGATGTCTATGATGATGCATCGTCTGAACAAAACTACCCTTCAGCGACCATAAGACCCCCTTTGTTCCCCTGCTGGGGCTGTGGAGGTGAATGCATGTGTGTGTGACGGACAAAGAAGGCCATCGGGGGCCGATACAGGGATTAAAAAAGCAGAAATATGGAGATGTCTCATCAGAGGAGCAGCAGACAGATGGAGCGCCGGTGTGAAAATGTGTGTGTGTCTCACAGTGAGATGTGAAGGAGATTCCATCGCCTCCATTTTAATGACTCAGCAGCAGGAGGGGGATTCTTCCAGTAAAACACCTCCTCCTAACACACACACACACACACACACACACTCACGCACGCACATGATCACACACTCCTTCTCTTTACTCACAAACACACAAGTAGAGGACTAAGAAGTCAGGAGATATTACATCACACACACATACACAAACACACACCTGGTGCTGTCATTCCTCAGACATGTGTTGTGTCTGTTGTTTGTGCTCGGTCTGTTGGCTGCGCAGACGCTGGCAGCTGCACGTTCACACACACAAAGAGGGTCAGAAGAAGTGTGTATTTTTGTGTAAGTTCGATGTGTAACCAGCAAAAACATATAAAGGCTTGAGGCGCTAACTCTGCAAGCCCTCTGACACAGCTCGGTAGGGGATAAAGCTGTGATTGAAGACACGATAGGGAGTTTTTAACTGGTTAAGAAACTTACACTACTTTCCCTCTTTGGCCTTCAGAAGCAAACAAGACTGTCAGCAACATGGCAGTAATTTCCCTGTTACAATATTTGATGCCTGAAACTGCTGCGAGGGGGTAGGCTTCGGACCAGATGCTTGACAGCAAGCCAGAGAAACAGCTGCTTTAAAAATGACTCACTGGAGGGGAAATGTTTCTCTGTTTAGAGAGGAAAAAGGATGTTTCACATGTTCAGAGCGAGAAATAACAAGTCTTTCTTTAACCACAGGGGGCGCTAAAGTCAAAACCAAACCAGAAGTTACTCACAGCAACTTTAAAATAAGTCAGCTGGAGCTATTTGTAGCCAGCACAGGCAAAGTAAACCACATCAGAAGAGCTTGAATACACAGAGAGACTGAGATCAAGATGCTTTTCTTTCTCTACCATCTAGGATTAATGTGATAAAGGCGTGATATTTAAAGAATAAGCCTTACATGTAAGAATTTAAAGGTTTAAAAAGGCTAATTTAAGTAGATTTAACTGTGTAAAAGGAAAGTCAATGGACGCATGATTCGTGAATTCCATTGTTATCCCCTCTCATACACAAAGAAGCATTGTGTCGTCCAAGGCTAATGAGCTGATGACTGTCCGAGCATTTACAGTCTCTCTCTCTCTCCCTCTCTCTCTCTCTGTCAGTATAGAGATCGGGGGTTGGCAAACAGAGCAAGGCAAATGTGATAATTGGTCCCATGTGAATTTCAGGAGTGTGTTTTCTGTGTGTGTGTAAGTGTGTGTTAAAAGCTTTTGTTTGTTTGTTTATTTTCTCGTTTTGGAAGATACTTTTTTTTTTTTTTTTTACCGCAGCACTTTAAAGTCAAAGTTTAAGTCCACAACTTTGTTTCAGAGACATTTTAGAGAGGGGGTGGAAGAAAGGGGAAAGTGAGAAGAAACAAAGCTTTAAGAAAAAGGAAGATGGCTAAGTAAGGTGAAATTTAGAGATAATCTAATGTACAGCAAGATACTGACAACAAGATCATGAAAACATGAAAACAGCACTTAGATGTTTAGTGGTGATGTGTTAACCAAAAAATCAAATACAGTGTTAGGTATCCAAGTCAATGTTGAAAATTCTTAATTCAGAAATTCTTCAGAAGAGGAAAAGCGCAAGATCAAGATACTTATCTTAGTGTAGTAACATACCAACTTATCTCACCAAACCACAAAAACATGCTATAATTACGTAATTAATTCAGTTGACATAAACAGCATTACGTTTCTATTTCCTGTAATTTCGTCTGTGAAATTAAAGTATGTTGCCAAAACAAGATATTCTGATTTTTTATTTTACATAAACAAGAAAAGCTCCTCATCTGACAAAAATATTTAAATGCTTGTTATCCTTAGCTAAATGACATATTTCTATATTGGGAAAACATTTTTATTATCACTTTGTAAATGCAAGATTCCTAGCCAGAACAGGATACTTTCCTTAATAGACTGATTATCTGACTTGTTACATCAAAACTTTCACTACACACTGTAGCAGTTGTTATGAACAGTATTACTTTTTGTGTTCATGTTAGAATAGTTCCTGTGTCTGTGTGCACTAAACCAAAGTATCTAGCAAAAACAAGATACTTTTGGAGTTGTAATTGTGAACTTTATAAGAAGAAAATGATCAAAATTAAAATGTAGCGACTGCTTTCCTTCAACAAAAAGGCCGCTGGGGTTGAGGTTCGCTTGCATCTGAGACTCCCTTGAAAGATCAGCCCGGTTTGAGAGTTTTAAAAAAAAAGAGCTATTGTTAAAAAGAGGAAAGAAAACACGCTGATCGGGGTCCAACACTTCTGCCTTCAACTGAAAAGGTGATATGATGAAATGAGGTTAAAACAGAATGAATGAAAAACGATGAAAAACGATGAGAAACAGTCAACAGAAAATTATCAGAGCTTACCAAACCCATTATCTGACTACACCTGTGAGACTTAAATTACCCGCCAAACATCCAAAAACCACACCCCTCAGTGACGATCCCAGAAGTGACATACCTATAGAAATAAAACTTAAACAAATACATTTTGGCTCCTACATAAAAAATGATGACATATTGTATTTGCACAGAAATTGATGACATTACCGACATTACTTTTTGTATTTTTGGCAAGTTCCTATGCTCATGTATGCACAGATTTGTAAGACAGGCAAATGCAAGATACCTTTCCAGAACGAGATGCTTTTCTCATTTCAGATGAATACCAACTCATCTCACCAGAATAAAAAATGACACCATTGTAAGATCATACACTGTCAGCATTAAAGATTACATAAGTTCTGAATCAAGATACATGATCAAACAAGATAGTTAAATTATTTTCATTGTCTGTAGTTATTAAAACTGAAAATTACACACCAATTTAAGATCATATCCGACAGTATCATGATCATCTATGAACAGAAGGCAGAGTGAAAATAAAAGGAAACACAATTTATGCATTGTTACAGATGGCTGCAATCTTGTTTTTATAGATTAATAAAAAAAACCTTGAAAAAATATTGTGAAACCACCGATGTGATGCATCATTTCCAGCACTGACTAATGACTTACAGCTCAGAACCAATGGAAAGATCATTAAAACACCAACCAGTCCCTCAGACCCACTTTTTCACTGAAACGTGTTTTTCATTTTAACCGCAAATCTTGGTAAGCAGCGAATGTATCCTGATGCTTCCCCTTTTTACAACAACATCAGAGCGATGTGCAGCTCTCTGAAATCAGGGTCTGACCACTGAGTCAGCTGTGTTTGAAAGATTTTTTTCAGCTGGAAATACAAAACATCCTGTGAATCATTAGTTTCAAAAGAAGCTCACTGAAAAACGAACATCTGCACGACATCAGAGATCATCAAGAAGTAAAAGGGTGCGCCTCACTCGTTCATCATGTCTTATGCTTGCTCTAATTACTTACATATGAACCTCAATAAATCACCAGCTCGGTGACTAAAAGCTATTAAGTTTTAAAGTAGTTGTATTGTATTGTAGACCTAAGTGATATTGCGCTAAAATTAAGATAAAGAAGTAGCAGGCTGCTAAAGAGTTAGCTGTAGTGGCCAATTTAGAGGTGATTTGGCAATTTCAGAGCTCTATTGTGAATCCAAAAACAATATTGGAGCTTGTGCCTCTTTGGGTTAAGAATCACCTGAACATTTACGCTCTCTGGCTGTTTTTTCAACCGTCTGTCCACCAGAATTGCAAGATGTCGCATAGTTGAATCAGTTTTCAGTAAATACATTCCTCCCCTGCAGTCACCCTTCCTGACCTCCTCCTCTGAGGGTAAATCCTGGAAGTGGCCCGTTTGGCTAAAATGACGCGCTTCCTCTTTACGCCCCCCAGAGGAGCCAGAGGCATGATGGGTATACGGCTCAGGGTGGAGGGTGGACTTATGTCCCCCTCCCCCGTGACGAGGTCTAACGCCCCTGACGGTCCTCTGCTCAGGGGTTTCAACACGTGGTGTGTTTGACGTTTATGACATGATTACTAAATTTAAAGCCTTACAGCTTTAAGGCACACTTTTGTATGGGTGTGTTAGTGTGTGTGTGTGTGTGTGTGTGTGTGCTGACCGGGTTACGACGGTGTTTACAATGATGGTAGGAACGTACTCTCATGGAGTGTGGGCGTTTGACTTTTATGACATAATTGGTGAATTTAAAGCAGCATTCAGATGGCGCACTAGTTACGTACTGTGTTATGGCACACATTAACACAGCAGCTCTGCTGTTAAATGGAGTGTGTGTGTGTGAGTGTGTGTGTGTGTGAGTGTGTGTGTGTGGGCGCTTAACAACATTACGACTTGACATCCTAAATGAACTAACAGTATTACGAGCTGATTATCTGACGTGGAATATTTAAAATGTGTAATATGATGTCACTAATGGGTTTATGGCTTAATGGCACACACTCACACACACACAAAACACATAAATACACTCTCTAGAATATAAAACTTAAACAAGATTATCCTTAACGGTGAAATAATTATTGTATTCAAGTCTCAGTGTTTGTTCATTTGTAGTAATTAACAGATAATATTAGAGTCCTTATTCTGTGCTGTGGTACTGAAGCAATTAAAGCTCCAGTCAGGAGTTTTTCAGCATTTTCGAAATAGACCGAAAGTCATTGTGATGGCTTTTTGTGTTATTCAAAAGCAAACAGGATCATCAAGGACAAGTCGGACAATTTTAATCCTCATTCTTGATCGGATCTGTGTGCTCTCTCCCTCTTGTCTTAAAAAAAGGCAATAAAGCCTGAAAAATTACTCTCTAAAGTTACAAAAGAAATCTAGGCAGCTTGCGTGATAAGTCAAAAGTCACTGACACAATTTGTGTTTCGCAAGTCCAGTTAATCAGACTGACGTCAGAGCTCTATATTTGGCGGCATGTTGTAACCGATCATGGAGTAAAATCCTTGACTTTAAAACAGAGAGAGCCTGAGAAAGGAACCAAACTGAAACTCCTGAAGAGTGCAAATGCTGTTAAAATAATAAGAGTTTACAAGATATCAGTGGGTGGAAAAACTATATAAGAAATTGCACACTACATTGACACTGATTGGACATTTTCTGCATGTGGCGAAATAAAATTACAGATATTTAGTTATCAAAAAGCTTCAGCTCAGTCGACTTTTTGAAGATAATGTAAAAAATTAACATTCTGCAACACATATGACTAATGTGATAATGATTGTTTGTTTGTCTGTCTGACATAATATTGATCTGCATCTTGAACAAACGAAAGCAGCACCCAAAACATGGATCGAAGTTACACACCCTCACACACACACATACAAAAATACACACAGAGACAGTTAAACAAAAGGACACACGCCAGCCGCGTGCATAACGCCTTGGTTTGCTGCATGTTTGGCGTGGACACACCTCCTGCATCTGTCCACTCTCTCTTTTTTTCTCTCTTTCTATCAAAGCTATTGAGGGACGCCCACGCTTATTATCAAGCTACTAACACACACACACACACACGTGCTTTGACCCGATCATTGGCGTGTTAATTGTCGTCTATTTTCTGACACAAGATCGCCACGCTACGTTGAACACCATAATTATGTCACCGGCACACACACACACACTTGAGGATGGTGTGTAATTACAGGTAAGAGGAGCCAATAAGAGCAGCAGGTGGCTGCCATATCATGTTGTCAGAAGCCCCCTTATGTGGACATTTAACAGATTTAGACCATTTTAAAAGCTCTTTAGTCAAATAGTCTTGTCATAGTAAAACGCCATCCTCTGACACTCTTATTCATTAATTTCCAGTAGAAATATAGCGTCTTTAAAACAGAAATTTCACTCTCCAATGAAGCTCTTTATTTGTCCTGTAGCCGCAGCAGAACTCTTGTGAACATGTTAAGACAGAACACACACTGCTGCATATGCACTTGAACACACACACTCTCTCATGGACCACAGCGGTTAGAGGGGTTTTGAGGCCACGGTGAGACTGCCAAGAGGTCTGCGGTGAGTGGCATGCCGCAGTGTTGAACCAACCCAAACACATACACACAGATGCAGACATTGTGGGATTAAAGAAAAACCTTCAAGTGCTTTTGTAGTCAAAGATTTAAGATGAAAAACATGCCGGATAGCCTCTTCAGCGCTTCAACCTGCTTTCTTTCTCATACTAACAGATACTTCACAATGTCAGGTCTCAATATACCCTCATATCCTCATGGCTTAATGTCAGTTCTGTGTACAATCCAACCTGATTTCTTCTTTTTCGGTCCCTGAATTCCGTGGTAAACAAAGCTCAAAATCTTGCAGTTTCAGTTCTTTGCGTTACTCATATTCAAGCTTTTGTAGTTTAAAGCTCCTATAAGGAGTTTTACATTTGTCAAAAGTGACCACAAAACAGAAGCATGGCGAGATTTTCAGACAGTAAATAGCACTTGGGGATGTACAGGACAAAATTGGTAAAAACATACAATTACCACTTTGTCCACCGGAGGCGCCAAATGAAAACTTTTCACAGTAGCTTCAAAGTAAGATGGTCCACCAAGGTATGACATTTTGGTGGATGATATTGTGAGCTGCTAACAAAAAAGTAATCTCACAAGGGATTTTCAAAATTTTAGGAAGATAGCTTGAAGAAATCTATCTATCTATCTATCTATCTATCTATCTATCTATCTATCTATCTATCTATCTATCTATCTATCTATCTATCTATCTAATGAATGGATGAATTTAAGGCAGAAACTGGATGAAGAAAATTAAGTCAACCAATAGCCTAACATTGTTCAAGTTCAACATCTGTATCAAGGAAGGTGTGTAAGGACCTTTACTGGTGACTGTCTTTTCCCGAGCCTCTGGTAACGGGTCTGTCGTAAAGAATACAGTCATGCTGTTTTGTAAAAAGTCGATAAAGTTTTCTGGAATACTTGCTTGACCATGTTCCCCATTTTTGATGATGAACAGTACTGTACGAGTCTACTGAGGTCAAGAGTGCATGGACCGGTGGGGTTACCAGGCTGCCCTCTACTTTAGGCAGCCTGTTATAAGTTTGAAGAACTCCTTACAGTTTGAATTTGGAATATAAAGTGACAGCCCTAGGTTTGAGAGTGAGATAGTGTTGATATTTGGATGGATGGCAGCAGGATAATATCACACTTCTGTGCAAAGCTCTATTTCTGATGTAACTTTTCCGCACAAAGCTCTCATTTTTAATCTCAACCAACCATGGGTCTTTTCGGAGGTGCAAAGATCCTGAAGCTGTTTCACATTTCCTGAAGCGACTGCAGAGTCCTGGCAGAGACTCGGTGTGTTACTGGAACACTCAGTTGTTAGCAAATTAAACATCTGCTTTCAATAAAACGTGAGCTGCTACTGCCTAATTGTTGAGCAACAAACAAGTCACAAAAACACATTTATTTTTAATGGCAACTACCAGCTGGAGCTGCTTTATATTAAAGAAATTACACTGTAAACACACACACACACACACACACACACACACACGTAAAGTGCAGGACCACAGTGACCCAGTCCAGACTCTTTAAATGAATCCATCACTTTTACAGCACATTGCTCATCCATACGGTTACTCTCCGTTTCCCCGCCTCTTCTGTATATTTCCTCTGACTTGATCATCTTCTAGTAAATCCTTACTCACTTCTGACCAAACTAAACACACCGATTCAAGTTCAGGAAAGAGTTTGTAATCCAACTCCACATGTGTGTTTGTTGACTCACGATATGCCAGCTTCAGAAAGTGGAATAACAGCTTATTGAAACTTAGTGATTCACCAAATCAGTCAGAGTTAAAAGCCTCACTTTAGGAGCAGTGAATGTAGTTTCCAGTGACCCCTGGAGGTCAGATGTGGCATTGCGATATAAACTGTCAATGCTGTTGAACAATATAAAACATTAAAGATCCAAAAAAAATGGCTGCTGCCATAGTGTGACAATCCTCGACTACCAGGATGCAAACAAGCACAGATGACAGAATATTGTACGTAGCGTGGCATGGTTTCAGTATTCTTTTTATCACAAAAGTCTTTATTTAGTTTGAAATGCTTTTAAATTATTATGTCAGACTTTGTTGAAGCTGATTCGACACCTCGACACTAAAGCAACAGACTGCTCATTTTGCACATTACCTGAATTTGAACTCTTGCAGAAGTTGAAACTCCTTTCGCACACATCGGCAACACTTCTTTTTTTTAACCTTTTGCATACTTATTTTCTGCACCCGGCTGAACGTGCGCATGTTCACGCACATCTGGGGTTCACACAGGAAGAGGAAAATAACTCAGAGCAGCAGAAGCAGAAAGCAAAACTGTTTTTGCAGCAGCGAGGAGCGACTCTGTGCCTATTGTGAGCGCTGACAGTTATATGATGCAGGCTGAAAGGCAAACAAGAAACAAGCAAC